GAAAAGGATCACCGCGGAGCTAACAACAGGGTGGGCATTCTATTTGGTAGGAAGATTAATATGCACTATATATGGAAAATTTTTGATCAGGGGCGAAGTTGTTGACGTGGACTCATAAGTTGTATCGTCGACCTCGTCGTAGCCTCTTTAGGGCGGGAAGATGACGAAGACGGGGATGCTTGGCAGACCGTTTTGGAGTAGGATACGGGAAATCGACAAGAATGGAAAAGGTATGACAGATGTGTTCGAATACTTACGTAGCATACGCTAACATGGAGTAAATTATTCTCTTGATGGCAGAACTAGGAAAACTCGGAACCGCTTATTAGATTAGGTAACATGGTATACGTGCATCCTCGATGACTTACAGCTCCGACTAAGGGGTAGTGACCTGGTCACACATCAGGATGGCAGACTGCGGCGCTTGACAGGTACTAGTACCAAGAAGCGAGATATGTAGGTCCATAGCGCAGCCGCTGCTACGTAGTTGAATTCGACAGGGCAGTATCACAAATAATAGCAGAAGTAGTAGTAGCAGGTAGTTAGATGAGATTACTAGATACGGTTGGTGCGCGGAATACCATTTCGGGTCAGGTGAGTAAGGTCTCGACGGGTTCACCTGGCTAGACTCTTCCGTCTAGATTTCGATCGTGTGTTTTCCGACGGAGGAGAATTTTGTTGAACGTCAAGCATGATACCGACGTTGCACTCGTTTAGTAGTCTCCCCCAAAGCGCACGGCCTTTCGTCAAATTTCTTGCGCGGCTTCTTTGCAGATGTCGGGGGCGGTAACTGTCACGATCAGTTCCTAGTTTTTTTTTCTTCGCGCCAGCGACGAAGGAATTCGTTCGCGAAGCTGGTTGGTCGAGCCGAGACAGCCGTACCCGTGGTACGTAGCCTCATAGGTAAGCTGGCCCTGGAGACAGGGTCTATCTGTAGGTACTCCATGTTTGAAAAATTAGGTAGTTAATTTGCCCTGTGGGATCTGGGGAGCAGCAAGGCAGGCATGGGCTAGCGAGAGTCTGAGCGTGCCTAGCAGATGCACAGAAGATCATGTTACTCGATCTTCGAAGGTTGCCTTAGTACATTGGGTGTATGTAGCTCTTCTACGGTGCCATGGCAGTACTATAGAATGATGTGGTCATCTCTTTGCGTTGAAGAGGATAGATACCTATGCTTATCTATTTTGGAATTACCTGGTACGGAACAACTCCGACCGGTTGGGCTTGTTTAGTAAACTCACGATGGTGAAGAGTACATACTGAAGTTTTGATGAGCATTTGGGGTAGTTTGTAAACGAAATCTCGCCATAGGCTGGCGATGATATGAGTGTAATCAAATTCCCACCCCGCTAGATTAGAACATATCTTGGCATTGAATACATCACATAAATACAAGATATGAGAAAGTAAAGTAGGTAGTATAACTACCTCAGATAACTACCTATACATACAAGCATAGTAACTCTGGCTATTCGCGGGCCAGGGCTATGGGAGTAATAGCGGAGCTTGGAACAAACGGCCTCTAAATTTCTCAATTATCAAAGCTGGATTGTTCTAGCCTCGTGACTATATTTCGATCTTTGTCAGTCTGATTGACCGTTATGAGCGAGGTAAGCCGTTAGTTTTAATACGACTCTACCCTGACTACGAAATAACTAGACGTCACTCTGGCGACGTCCCGTGTTAGTTAATACTAATTATTACTTATATGTATGATATTGCTATTTCTCAAAGCGCTAGGGACGTTAGCCCTTCTAGAAGTCATGAAGGCTTAACTTGGAAGAAAGAGGATAAGTGCCGGGAGGATGAAACCACATAATAGCATTATTAAAGCTAGCAATTTTAATTTTCAAGCTACATTTCTCCCCACTGTCCGTCTTTTCAGCCCAGCCCGCGGGAGAAGCCGTTTGCGTTTGAGAAATCCTTCCCCCGCAGAAATGATCTACAGACGGTTTAGGACGATGCTAAGCCCGGTCCGAACTTATAAGTAAAGATTAAGTGTAAGGATATCTTTCTATGCGGCGTGCGGTTGGCGCAAGGCCGCCCGCGTTTTCAGCACATCTAGCACTATCACTTAGTATTCGGCCCGTTGGACGGATATGATCATGCAAGATGCAAGCTGCTGTCAACGCCAACAGCCGACGAGGCAGCAGTTATTACCTAGTCCTCCCACGCACTAAGGCTTGGTAAGTATTGGGAGGGATAGCTGGACGACCTAGCAGAGATGTTGTGGGGTAGGTAGGCAGGCATACGGGTATCCAAACACCATATGTGATAAGTTTCAGTTTGATCAATCTGGTTGACCTGGGGGAAAAAACCGGGCTCATTTCACGAGTCTTCCAGAATATTGCTAGATCTTCACGCCCGCTGTAGTAATCCGCAGTCTGCCTGAAGGGACCGGTCCACAGTTTAGATGAACCCGTCCTGTTGCAAACCCAAAGAGGCAAACCCTGAATGATTTCTCGGTCAGCCTCTTAGTTGCCCGTGCGTACCATAGTAGAGGGTGAGTGAAGCATTGCCCGGTAGCGAGAATTGATCGTCTCGTTCCTCCTACGCTAGCGGAGCGACAACGAGCAAGTACAGTACCTAGGTCGGCCGTAAAAGAGCACAACAGGATTCCAGAAAGGAAGGTCAGCCACCTTCGTAAATAGAGATAGTCATCCGCTTTTATATTGATGTAGTAGAAGAACTGGCTCTCGTGACTCAAGCGAGACGCCGTAAGCAAATCGGTTCGGGCCGCTAAATGACAACCAAGACCCTTGGTCAACTTTGATATATAGGATTTGGAGTATTCTTCACGTGTGCGTAGGAAACTTATTAAGCTAGCGCGCCGAGGAGCTGACGGGGTAGTTTGACTATAGCAATAGCATCCAATGACGGGTCGCGTATGGCATGAAGAGGTATGTATGGTCATTTCGGTGGTTAGCCTGTTCTTATACGAGTTGGAAACCCATAGTTGGGTATATTACATGTCGTTATAGCAAGATATAATGCAGTATAGTAGGCTATAAGACGTATGTATGGGTTGTATTTCGGGGATATCAGTATCTAAGTGTTTGAAGCTATAATGCTTTCTTCGACTAGTTACCTAGGTTGAGTACTAGTTACCTAGGTTGAGTACTAGTTACCTAGGTTGAGTAAATGTAGTTGTCCTGTATTGTTATGCACACATCTTAATACCTAATAATAGGCTTAGTGTACATCATTAATAATGAATAAAGGGTATTCCGGACAGAGATATAGTTGTTATATCTAAAGTGACACCGTAAATCAGGACGTATATCACATAATCATGATGAGGGGGTGAGTTTTGGCTGTACGTAGGGTTATCTGCATGGCCCATGTGCTATGTACAACCGGGCAGATTGAAGATGGGGTTGACATGGATTACCTAGCTACCTAATAATGGTAACAGGTTACAATTCTTTAATATCTACGGAATACGGTTAGAAGAAGCTAAGGGTCCAAGCTAAGTTATGTTTATACATAACTAACCAAAAGGCATAATTTATCTGCATTTAGATGTCCATAGGAAATTACATAGGACCTTGAGAAGACCGACGGATATGCGATTCTAAAAGATGCCGGCTTCATGTTGCTCATTTATGTCTTCAAACTTGAAAACAGGCGCTTATACCTAAGCACCTTAGGCTACGTAGGGATATATCATACCCACGCGTATGGATATACTTATACTTGATGTAGGTTAGGTAAGGTATCTATCTCCTTAATTAGGGCTACTAGTGTTAGCCGAATTGCTATGTAGTATCTAGGTATCGTCACCCCTCTGGATTGTATGTTATGGAGGTATCAGAGTATAGTGACCTAGTGTAATGTAAACACTCTTAATTTCCTATGTCGGATACATAGTGTTATAGCTGTATGAGCACGTTCATGTGGTAGAGATACGTACTTGTTAATTCACATTCTCTAAATCGTCCCCATGGAAATTTTCATGTTCCCTTTCATCCGACCCCTGCCACCCCAGATCTTCCCCAAAAACCGTACCCTTAAGTATTTTGTAACTATTCCTACAAGTCATTTTCCCTATGCTACAAGAAATCTATGCCTATTTCAGTTCATCGAGGTCACTGCACCTTAAGTCCAAGCCGAAGGACCCCTCGGAATACGGGTATTTGTACGTATTCTGGTAGACTATTTACGACCCTGGCTTAAGTGCGAAATCATGCTATGGCATCCTAGAAGAAGCGGGGATTTTGAGAATCTACCTACCGCAGAAGTATTTGCAGTCCCGAATTCCGTTGACATCAGCGCTTCGGCTATGCCAGCTATTGCTCGTATGAAGAGGCTCCATCCTATTTAGTCCGTATGGGGTTGGCATACTACATATGTAGCATGATGCTCAATGTCAGCTGTACATAACATACCGCTATGGACAGCCCGTTTGCACGGAAGATGGAATTGAACGGTCAACTTTGTGTACAGTATTGTACCGCGAGCTTCCAGAAGATGGGCTCCAATCAGGGGTTAGGTGAAAGGGCGCGAATACTACCCTTGCCCTATTGGTAAGTACATACCAATGCTATGCTGTACCCTTACCTAAACCACGATGGGAAGCAATTTTCTGGGGTTTTATTTTTTTGGCTGGCCTACACTCTACATACCATGTACGCTGGACCCTCTAGGCGGACTGGGATTCTTACTAGGGGCTCAACGGTTCTGCGCCGCTTCTGCAGGTGTGTACCATGTGGAGGAGACACCACTGTCAAATCCTCCATCTTTCCCGTCATAAAATATGATAAGCTCGCTGCCCCGTGCCTTGCAGACCCGTATACCCTCTCCCGTCATTTTTGTCCGAATCCTATTCCTCTGTACGGCGTCTTGGGTAAGTAAATACTTCCTTACCGAAGTCGTATGCTTCTCTAGGTCCCCGGTTACACGACTTCATACGAAAAGGTAACAGCATCGTCTAATACTTAAGCGAGACTGCTTGTCGTTGACTATACCGGAGAGGTGCCGGTGACCTGTTGGCTCGAAAGATGTCGCCGTCGTCGACGGGTGATTCGCCTCTTTCCGCCGGCGCAGCGAGCAATTCGGGGCGGCCTTTTCCCTTACCCTCGAGAGAGACATTCTCTATTGAGGTTCCCTCGCCGCAGCTTAACCCGGCCACCAACGGCTCAGCGCTAAAGTCTCCGACGGCCGTCAACAAGGCCCAGCGCACTGCAAGTTTCAGCCGGGAAGGAATATTAGGTTCGGCACAAAAAGCTCGGAACCTTTCTCAAACGTCTGAGATCCGTACTGAGCAAATCACCAATGGCATGTCGAAAGCATCTAGCGACGAAGGGGGAAACCCGCTAAAGAGGCGGAATACGGATGCGACTGTTGACTACCCTCGGAGACGAGCCACCATCGCGGTAGGTTAGATGGTATTAAAGGTTATTTAGGTGAGATTCTAATTAAAGTAAATCATAGTGCGAGGTTTGCCGTTCTCGGAAATCAAGATGTGACGGCACGAAACCAAAATGTAAGCTTTGTACGGAACTCGGGGCTGAGTGTATATATCGAGAGCCCGGGATCAAGCTTGACGCCGGCGACAAGCTCATTCTCGAGCGACTGAATCGAATCGAGAGCCTTCTTCAAATCAACCTGACAAACGGTCACCCGAACGCAATGCAGATCACCCACGATTCCCCGCCCATAAGTAACGGGACTGCTCTTAGCGGCGATAATGTCATGATTCAAAACTCATCCGGTAACTTTGTCTCTATTATACCGAGCGGTGGCTTAGGTACTTGGACAAGTCATCCCCAAGGTACTAACATCTCTACGATGCCTAAAGTTCACACCAACGCTGCGCTTCACCTGCTTCAATGGCCATTGATTCGGGATCTGATCGGACGACCGTACGACCCGCAGATTATTCTACAGCTCGAGATGGCTCGGGAGCCACTACATTCCTTGGCTAAGACGCCCTGTGTCGATTTATCAAATACTAATGCTTACATCGAAGCCTACTTCGAGAGAGTGAACGTATGGTATGCCTGCGTTAATCCTTTTACTTGGAGGAGCCATTATCGTACGGCGTTATCGACTGGATTTCGCGAAGGTCCAGAGAGCTGCATCGTGCTACTAGTACTTTCACTCGGCCAGGCAAGCTTGCGAGGTAGTATATCCAGGATTGTGCCTCAGGAGGACCCTCCGGGCCTGCAATACTTTACGGCTGCATGGTCACTCTTACCCGGCATGATGACTGCGAATAGCGTTCTGGCTGCTCAGTGTCATTTATTAGCCGCTGCTTATCTTTTCTACTTGGTACGGCCGCTGGAAGCGTGGAACTTGCTATGCACGGTGAGCAGCAAACTACAACTATTACTTATGACCCCGACTCGCGTACCGGAAGACCAAAGAGAACTCTTAGAACGAATTTACTGGAACGCTCTCCTTTTCGAAAGCGACCTTCTCGCGGAATTAGATTTACCTCATTCCGGAGTAGTTCAATTTGAGGAAAACGTTGGACTTCCCGGTGGATTTCAAGGAGAAGAATCCGAAGCAGTCGGTCGAGATGATCTCTGGTATTTCTTAGCTGAAATCGCCCTAAGAAGGCTCCTCAATCGAGTTAGCCAACTCATTTATTCCAAGGATTCCATGGCTTCAACTACGAGTCTAGAGCCTGTCGTCGCGGAGCTGGACTTTCAGCTTACGCAATGGTACGAAAGTCTCCCTTTGGCCCTTCAATTCCCGTTCACCCGTACGACTCTACCGGACCCGGTGCAAACGGTGCTACGATTACGTTTCTTTGCTTGCCGAACCATTATCTACCGTCCGTATATCTTGGCGGTGCTGGATAACGAACAGGCCGTATTAGACCCCTCAGTACGGGATAGCTGTCACAAGTGCCTCGAAGCCTCAATCAGGCAATTGGAGCACATATCTGCACAGTAAGTAGAATTCCCCTTTTATGATTGGACAATCTCCCTAGCCTCATGCTCTTATTCCCGGCTCTTCATATTCTTGACCCAATCTAACGATTTGACCGTAGTCACGCCGGCCATATGCCCTACCTCTGGCAGGGCGCTCTCTCTATCGTTTCGCAGACATTACTGGTTATGGGGGCTACCATGTCACCGTCTCTGTCTAACATACTATTAACACTCGTACCTCACCGTGAAGTCATAGATCAAATCATCAATGACGTAATTATGGACATCGAGAGGATGGCAATACTGGCGCCCAGCTTGAGTTTGGCTGCCGAGATCATCAAAGAGGCCGAGGTCCGCAGGCGAACATTCCTGAATGGTTGATAAACGGTCGAGCATGACGCAGTGTGCCAGTCCTGATGAGCATGTTATGATGGGTATGGCCGGTCCGAATGCTTTAGAGGTCACGACGATCGGATGTTATAGTCTGCATGCGAGCGTTAACTTTTACGATGTCATATCTACCCGCTGCCTGGGCCGGCCGGTTCGCGTATCTAGGAACGAGTGCAGGTACTTGCAGAGATTCCCGTTCAGCATTCTCGGCTATGCTCGAAATGTCTTGTCTCTATTGCACGAGGACTTCTCCCGGGGCATGCAAGCTGCGATACGACGCCCAATTAGGGAGGTTATGGTAACTAACTTGGTGCGACTAGCCACCGGATTCCTTTTCAGCCTTGTCGGGTCCCTAGGGATCAAGTCCCTCCGTGGCTGATTTCTTAGATGATTGACGAGCCCCTAGGAACAAGGCCGTTGAAAAAGGGCCTAGGGCGGCCAAAGTAGTAGACTGCAGCGCTTTGGCAGCACTGCGGTGCCCTGGGGTTGCATCCTGGGGGTGGACTGGTCCAGCGTGGTTGGCGGGGAAAACTCTTGGGTCTGGGCGATGGCTGGATGGCTGGGCTTTGCGGTCCGGATTCCCGATAACCCTGCTCACATACCTGTTCACATAATTTCCCCATCACCGAATATGCGATGGTGAAGGGTCGGATTCTACAACCGTCGCCAAATCTTTCGTGTTTCTAGAGTTGGAGAAATGTCCATGGACGTTTTCCTATACGTTGTATCTCGATCTGAGGACATGCGCGGCTATTCTCATCTTCCTATACTACCTTACCTTACCCTACTTAACACCCTACTACTATCCAGAACGGCATCATGAGTGCCGATGAAGTCATCGGCAAGGAGGAGGATCTTGAATCGAAGAAGACATAGCCAGCTGGCTGGCCCTTCCAACCCCCAACTCCCAGCCCCCCTAGCATCTCACATCCTTACATTGTATACCTATCCTTTAACTACTTACACTTGGTTGCAGCATGTATGTTTCTTGGTTGAGCATAACCAATGTGTACTATTCAACTCCCCAGCGGATGCAGTCTTGAAAGTGTTGTTCGGCGCTATCGGCGTTATTTCCAAGCGTCTTGGTCTACAGAGGCTGCATCGTCATCATGGTTAATTCAAAGGCAGGAATATGTAGCGGGAGATTATATCTCGCAGAGTGGCTCATACTTGATGGCGGGAGTTTACGAGGCAAATGACAAAAATTAATGAGTCGAGACAACCACGTCGTCATCTATACCCAATCGATTTTCAGATATATATAATATGAATACCTACTTCTATTTATACACTTACCCACTTGCTCGCCTTTATAGATATCGCGTGCTATTTTGAGAGATCTAACACACCTTATCGGACAGAGGGTACTCGTCATCTAGCACGTGGGAAGACATAAGCGAGATGCAATTGAGCGGCTTCATTAAGTACAGGTTAGGAGGTACCTAGGGTAGTCCAGATGTTTAACATATAAATGCCATCCCGGCATGTCATGTCAGCCACCACTATCTGCCAGGCTCACTTACATACATGCACTTTCTAGGAGGCTTTCGTTCCGCTAACAAGAAGCATTAGGTACATGGGGGGGGGGGCTCTAGAACAGGGAAGCATACTTCAAGAAATAGGTAAAATATAATAAGAATAAAGGATATAATAAGAATAAAGGAAGGAATAAAAATAAACAAATACCTAACCCCCCCCGATCCCGTGATGTCGAGGCCCTTTGCGGGGCTCCGCATTTGCCTACTTGCATGTGCCTTTCATGCACACCTACCTATATAATCTCCCTAACCTATAGGCCTCCAATTCCGGACCCTCCCCCGTTTCCCCTCCCCGGGAATTTGCCATACCGAAGCCTGTCATAGGGTAGACAGCCCAGCCTAGCCCACCTACCTACCTACCTGCCTGCGGTATTTCGCTGTCAGCAGGGAACGGGGACGGAGAAGGATTCGAACGAGAAAAATCGCGGTGTGCGACAACCAAGGGCACCGCAGCTCCTTCGGAGATTTCTTTCCTCTTTCATAGGTACGCGGGACTGCGGGTTTAGCGGCAGGCCCTGCCAGGAACCACCCCCTCCCCGGTCCGTCGGCCGTCCTCGAATAGGGTACCTAGGTGGCTTTGCCGGCATCCAGCTTGGCAGTTGGGCTACATACATACATAACATACCTACCTACACTAATGTAGGTTTCTACATACATAGTACATTAGTAAACTTGTAGGCGTCCATAAAGTATCTAGCACGGATATACTGTGATGAACTAGGAAGGAAAAAGAAGTAGGGGTGCAGAGACAAGCTATACATTGGTTTCATATAGTTAGTAAGGTGACGGGTAACTATTGACAATAAAAATATCACTGGAGTTTTATCATCTGAAGATTTTGGTAAGAGTGTTTAAAAGAGAGGAGTCAGTTAATAATTACCATGACAGTGGTGAAATTGAAAGCTAGAGACATTTCTCATCCGTGTCCTCAGAATTTATGTTATGACTTCCACGTATGAATAGCGATATGATATAATTTATTATTACCATCTAGACGCGCTATTGGCTTGTGCCCGACAGGCACAGCTAAAATAACTACCTCAGAAACTAACGAAAGCTAACATCGCTACATTAAGCATCCTTGCTCCTCCATTTCTAGTGAACGTGATCCGCTGAGGAGTATACCATATTTATCACTTAGTCATGTAAATAGTAAAAGAACCCCCTTGGTAAGCTATCCGCCTCGTGAGAGAATGACACATGGGCCGTGTCAAATAAAATCTTCATTGCGTCAAGCTGTCGGGGACCGAGACAGCATTTTACAACGGCGGGAATGTACCGAACGTGCTTTAGACTAGGCAACAACCCTCTGAGAAGCTCGGAGACGAACGTAGTAGAAAAAGCCATTATGAAATCCTCTTTCCGAGTGAAGCCACTTTCTAGATTCCCCCACATCTCGACCGCGTCAAGCGAGATGAGATTCGGTGGAAGTTTTTGAAGTATCCTGGTGTCATGTGTATTGGTTTGGATCCCAGTTATAAGTGGTATTTCAGTCGTTAGTGTTTCAAGCTTCTCGAGTTGAGGCAAGCAGTCAAGAACCTGAGACGGCCCAAGCTGGCCTAGAAACCAAGTGTTTTGGCAGGTCCTTAACTCTAACACCTTTAAAGTACTGGCCACTTTTACTAGTGCGTGGTTGAGATCTCTGCCTGTCGACGGTAGAGGACGGTGTAAATCACGAGACTTCGCCACGATCAACGAGAAACTCTCCAGTTTAGCAGCAGAGTTGAAGATACGGAATATTGTTTCGGCATCGACTACAAGATCCGTAGTGAGTGGCGATTCTTCCCAAATATGCTAGAGATGGGTCGAGCGACGGGCTTGGGCTGGTACTCACCGCAGGTTACTAGCTTCAGCTCCCTTATTCTTCCAATCCACGAATTGTCACGACCTGCTGGGAAGGTAAGATATCCGTATTGATACCAGACATGGAGTCGATGGACCCCTCCGATTTCAAGAAGCTCTGTTGCTATTTCCATGCTGGACCCAGAGAAGGATCTAGAAAAGGCGAGCTGTTGAATATACAGCGTCAGTAGCTGAGGAATAATGCTATACCTGCTTTGCATCGTCGCTTGGCGTAGTAAGTAATCTAGTGTCTGGTAACGACTACTGTCGTACCAGCGTAGGAGTAGTCTAAGGTTGTAAGATAGACCGATAAGAACCGCTAAGAACTTTAGGGTCAATGTAGATAACTAGGCCACCCGGATATTATATTGATCTAAATGAGCCCAGTGCATTATAAATATTTGACGGTCTGAGAGGTCATCCTCGGATGGCAAGCTGGAAAGGAGGGCTTGTATATTGCTACAGCCCCTGAAATTAGTATATGTTTCTATAACGTATCAGGGTTATTATACAAGCATCATAACCCCTTCAGAACCGACAACTTGACCGATATATATATAAAGAACCCTAGGGAAAAATAGAAAAAGTGAAAACAAGTCTAAATGTTACTCACCTGGTTACTTCGCGTTCTATGTTATCTGGGATTCCCCAGTCGTGGGGCTTCAAACTCCCGGGGCAAATTATATTTTCGATATGTTTACAGTAATCCTCCTTCGAAAGCAGAGTCCGCACTAACATTATTAAACTCCTTGGGCCGCCATAGGCGAGGGCGCGGAGATAATCATCATAGTCCCGAGAGTCGATGAAAAAAATGACCGTCTGATAAAGGAGCGGCGTTGCAAGGTCGTTGAAGAGACTGGAGGTAAGACATAGATTATAGAGGACTTTGCGGTTTACTAGGAACTCGGGTGCGGGTAGTGTGGAGGTTACGTCTTGGATTGGGAGTCGGAAACACTCGACGATATTTAATAAAAGCTCGGTAGGTAGTAAATGACTATAACGAAGCTGTTGAAGTTGGCCGCACAGTTGATCAATAGCACCGTCATCTCTCTCCTTCGGGGACTGAACGTCGGGGGTTTGTGTCGGATTCCTCGCCATCACTACTATTGGAACGTATGATATAATAAACAACACCTAACTCTGCGAATGGAGATAGACTGGGTGGCCGCGCGACTTGTCTTGATCGATTCAGGGCATAGTTCAAGAAATTAGGGGGGAAATGACGAATGTAGGTAGAGAGGTTGCTGGATCTTCCCGTCTAAAACTAGCTCTTGAGGCGCCACATAGGGCTCTTTCCCAGCACGTAACTTTACTCTCGAATTTCAGTAAGAATGGGCTGTAGTTAATAACATGATGGCAAGTGCCGTGCTGTTCCTTGGAAACATCTTATGTAAAGAACCTGGATGGATAAGGCATAGGTGCATAAACTGTTAATGCGGACTTGTATATGGAAAATCCATATTAAATAGGTACATATCGCTAATGTCAATGCCGATTTCGCCATGCTACGGTTGACGAGCAATACAATGATGCCGTTATGGAATACTGCGGTCCCGTAGAGAAATACTGATGTGTGGTGGATAGTCACGCCGTTCTCTCGGAGCGTCTCCTTGAGTACTGAGGCAGTTAATTGCGATGAGAGGGAAAAAGGCCTAGGATATTGAAAGGACTAATGGTCAGGCCACTCTCAAGCACATATTTTAGGTTAGACCATCAGCTTTTCGCCTTGGGAATAGCTTTCTAAGTCCGCTGCCGAACCTGGAACCCGTGTGCTTGATAGTATGGTCTATCGACATTTTACGAGTTGCTTGTAGAGAAGTAGGAGGAAGGGGGGTAGCTAGCTGCTCATTGTTCGGCAAATGCGTCTGACTCTGTTTGGTCATACTTTTCTCAACTCTTCGACGTCTCGGCCCCTGTTCTGTGCCCCGGCGTGGTACTAACAATTCTGGGAAACGGAATTCAAATCCATCCTCGATAAATCCTTGAGATGATTGGCTCTCGCTACCATTAGCTTTAACCCTTTCATCTTTCGCTTCTTGGTTCTCAGTTAATTCGATACCGATACGCTCTTCATCACCACAGACCACGACATACCACCGGATACTCTCTTTTCTTTGCAGTTGATCGCGAAGTTTCTCAAACCATCCTGCTTTCTTGTTGCCGTATGTATTTACCTTATGGCAAGTTTCCTCACTCATGCCGCTCATGGGCTTGTAAGGTTCCGTCTTCATCCGCGTCTCGTATCGACTTATTTCTTCTGCAACTGAAATCGAAGTGTCTATGCGTACCACATAATCTGCCACATATGCCCATTGTCCGCTTACGGTGGTCAAATCTGACGGATCAAATTCTTCCAAAAACTTCACGATAGACCAATCATTGAACGGTATGTCGTCGTCGTTAGGATCTGGTAGTTCCGACGCTGGAAATATAGTTAACTTGTCGCGTTGCCTGGTCGTCGGTAGCTGCTCTGAGGCTTTGCTGCGACTAGACAGTTTGCTCCGTCGACTGCCATTTCTGTTCTTGTTATTTTCAAATTGGGCAACCTCCTCCTTGTACCCTTGGCCGCTGCATGGACGTGTGCGTGAATAGGCGTGTCCATTTATTGCTGGGAAGTCATTGCGAATGTGATGGGGCGAGGGGCTTAGATTTTGTGCCAGACGGGGACAAGGAGGTAGGAAGTCGAATAGCTCGTAGAATTGGTTAAGGAGGGCGACGGGACTCTGCCGCGCTATAATCCATTCCGACGCGACGTCGTCAACGTTCTGGATAACAACGAAATATCGTATGCTTGGGCGATGCCAGCGAAATCCGTGGCACAGATACGTCGGCATTATGTGGTTACAAGTCTCCTAGCTAGTGTGGATCGAGTAGCAGGGCATTACAGTAGTGCGTCCTGTATGTACGTGCAAAAGGCGGAGGGTAACCACCCGGAATCCTGGTCTGTGGGGGAAGAGACAGGGGGGACCCTGAATTGGGAGAACGTGAATGTGAATGGTCAAACGGCTTTTTTCTTTACTGCTCAACCACGTCTAACGAGATCGTCATATCAAGCACAACAAGCCAGAAGGATGTTGTCTTTAAACCTACAATCATCGGACCCCTTCGGGAAAAGGGAAATATAAGATGGTCGGTCAAAGGTTTAGCGAACAAAAGTTAGCAAGCCTAGTACTCGAACAATTAGACGCAAGACAGTCACAACTGGATAATAGCCTGTCAGATCGGATCACCGCTAACCTGACTTAGGAATTCAGGGTAAAAGCGAAAGGTGTTGTAGAGTCTTTACTCACGTTATATATTAATAGGTAGTAATTTATATGGTCCCAAAATGTCAAGGAGATATCGGCTGTTAGTGTTTGCAGAACTGGCAAAGCTGGGGTGAAAAAGGCTCATACAGATAGGTACCTAATCATATGTCATCTTTCCCAACTCAAGTTGCATTTGTTGCAAGAGCCGGTCGGTTTTACGATAGGAAGCTCGATTATGGGTCCGTCGTGTCGCGAGTCGGTAACCTATCTATATGGCGCCAGACTCTTTCTCTTTGAGCCTCATCTGTCTTAACGTCATAGCAAAGAACTTGATACAGTCTTATATCGAAGTACTCTCTGATTGGTATTTTCCTTCTTTTAAATATTCATCATTAAGTTTGCGTATAAGCCTATCACATATGCTTAGTCGTACCTAGCTAGATGGCTTCGATCGGGTTCCCCCCCCTTTCGAGAGAGTGAAGTCCGGTTTGTTTGAGCTCTAGCCCACCCAATTTAACGGTCATATAGCGGTATCCCACGTCGCAACCCCGCCCCGAACGTGTCTTCAACTACTCAGTACCTCCGTCTATGTTCGTAGATATAGTTGTACTATATCGGTTTTCAATGTATATTGGTCTTGATAATATCCTTAAAGAGGGGACTCGAATTTACGTGGCTCTTATTCCAAGTCATCGATGCTGAACCCGTTCAACGATATATTCTTTAAAAGCGTAAAAAGCCCTTAGCCAACACACATATACTTAAACCAAACGAACTGCCTCATTAACACGTTTTGGCTTCCTCTATGTCTTTGACATACTATTAATAATGCTTCTTGGTGAATTATATGCCAAGACACATATAGAGCTCAGTGTTCCTGTCCGGGAGTGGTAGATACCTTGTTTAAGAAAGCGAACCCCGATTTTAATCGACTCTTGGGGAGTTGCTTTGGTATCTGATCAGTTTTCGTGTACATGTCTTACGAAATGACACTAAGAATTAAGAATAGCCAATGATATTAAAGGGAACTTCCCGATTTGGTCTTGATACAACGATTTACTAGCCTAGTTGATGCAGTTGTAGTTGATCTGTAAAGTCACCAACCGCATGCCTCATAAGCTAAACTATAATACGTCTTACAGTGTATAGCTTATCATCAGTCAGTACCGTACCTTATCGGCCTCTTTTTCCGTTGCGGCGTGACTGAATGGGGCTTTCGCACATTCGCTGCAACAGGAAAGCTGCGCCGGGCTTACGGAGGAGAGACCTGAGGACCCGGCGCGCCATCCTAAATAGTTAAGTGGAAGAGTCGGGCCCCACAGAAGCCGTAAGACTAGTGTATACAATAAAATCTAACGTCATGGTGTAATAGACATGGATTCATTGCCCCTCAGCTCTCTAACCCCTCATCGCGAACTCAATCACTAAAACTGTCGGTGGAGAAGCTTCAAAGTGAAATTCAACGCCTTCTGTGGTATATAATTGAACCCTTTCACCTCCTTGGACGTGTCACCCAGACTCTTTTCTCCTTAATATTAAAAAACAACCTACCAATTCCTTGTTAATTATGGCAACGAAAATACCCACCGTAAAACTGGCCTCTGGCTATGTACGTGACCCCCCTCTGCTTCTGTGGGCTGAGGCTTATAGGAATAGGAAATGCCCATAGTTGGCTTTGGTATTTGGAAGGTACCGAACGATACCTGCGCTGATCAAGGTATGTCTCCTGTAGTCTTTAAAAAATTGTTCCACATGTAGGTCCATCGGTCGCTGACACCTGACTCGCTACTCGGTAGTCTACAATGCTATTAAGTTAGGCTATAGACACATCGATGGCGCTTGGGACTACACGAACAGCGCCGAGGCTGGTAAGGGTGTACGGAGAGCCATCGAAGAGGGTATCGTGAAGCGAGAAGACATGTTCATTACTTCCAAGTTATGGAACAATTACCACGCTCGCGAACATGCGTTCGAGATGGCTAGGCTGGAGAACGAGGCGTGGGGTCTGGGATACTTGGACCTATTCTTGATCCACTTCCCCATCGCGCAACAGTTTATCCCCTTCGACAAGATCCGCTTTCCCTGCTTCTGGTCCGATAAAGAGCAGACCAAGGTTACTCCGCTGGCAAAGGTGCCAATCTCAGAGACCTGGAAGGCTCTGGAGGATATGGTTCGGACTAAGGAGAACCCCAATGGCTTCTTCAGGAGTATCGGCATATCAAACTTTCAGCCTCAGCTAATCTACGACTTGCTGTCGTATGCGAAGATCCATCCGAGTGTCTTGCAGATCGAGCATCACCCGTACCTAACGCAGCCCGGCCTTATCGCCCTAGCGCAAGAAAACAACATTGCCGTAACCGGTTACTCGACATTTGGCCCGCAGAGCTTCATCGAGTTGGGCAATGCTACGGCCAAGAAGGTTAAGCCTCTATTCGAGACGGATGTAGTGAAGAGCGTCGCAGCGAAGCACGGCAAGTCTCCCGGACAGGTTCTACTTCGATGGTGTACTCAACGCAACATCATTGTCATCCCTAAATCGAACAATGTCGAGCGGCTGAAGCAGAACCTGGACTGCTGCTCTTTCGACCTGAGCGACGATGAGATTAAGCAAATTTCTTCTTTGAACATTAACCTGCGATTCAACGACCCTGCTGCTCTAGGAAGTAGTAGGATATTCGGTTAAATACGGTATAATACCATTTAGATGGTTTAGAAACTTTAAAATAATAGATTGCCTAATTCCTTGTTCTTCCTTGTTCTTCGCGGAGACATTAAATAATCCCAATACGTAATGAATGGAATAAAGGTAAAAATAAAACGCCACAGTTCAGCACCGCCATACGGATCCGCACCGCCACAACCATATCCAATTAATTAATCAAGTGCCTGAAGGCGCGTCGCTTTCCATGTCATTGTCGCGTCTCTTGTGGCCTCGCTTCACAGTGAAGCTTCACCAATTCCTTTAATTAAGCAATAATATGGCCCTCCCACTACCACCTGGCCTTGTGCCAACCGAAGTAGCTTTCCTCTGCGAGATGGAAATGGTTACAGTCGTTCCTCGCCAAAGACTCGAGTCAATTCCGTTACTTAGTGTAAATAATCCAATTATTTCAATTATTTCAAATAATTTAACCCCACCACCCCGCCATCGCCATCGTCATCGCCATCATCAAGCAGCTCTACTAACAACACACAATCCCATTATATAGGGCAAAACTCCAGCTTTACGTCCACCGCATCGCGCCCAGCTTCCCCTATGGCTTGCGATTTTACTTAAGAAGCAACGGCGCGCGAATATCGTCGCACCGCCTTGGCTATATCCGGATTCGCTCAAGGATATCATCAATCACGAGACCAACATCGACCCCGTAGCATTCTCCCCACCCCCACCACCGCCCACGAGGTCCGATGGCATGGGTGGCGCGAGACCATACGCGCAATCTTCGTTTGAGTTGAAGCCGGGGGAAATGTTACTGTCGCCGCCCTTTCTCCCCTCGTGTACACAGGAGGCGCCTTCAGGCTACCTACCCTACCACTGGCTGGAGCTTTCAGAGACTCTGCTTGCGCACGCCGCTGACGATATACCTAACGCCGCCGAGGTTCGAACGTTACTGCGGGATCTACAAGAGGTGCGTGCGGCGAAAATGCGCAGTAGTACGGTACATCTAGAAGGCGGTGGTGGTGTACTCAAGTTGCGAGGTGTCGGAGCAATGGAACTGGCTGAAAGCAGGGGGTTTGTGTTAGGCGTCGTCGAAGGTGTGAGGAAGCTAGGCGCGAGTGCTGAGGCGAGTAGGAGGGAAGAGGAAGAAGAAAGGGCTAATGGTGAAGGAGCCGAGGATAGCGACGAGGAGATGGGCTTCTAGACACGAAATAAACGACGCATATGAGACATGGTACAGCATTGCATACGGCTCTAAAATTACGGCATATCACATAGCATCGGACCGGCGTTTGATCCCTTCATCAAACCGGGAAACATTTTGAAATATATTTACATATACCTAACCTATATATACCCCCATTTCTACCTTTTCCCAAGCAATACGCCTATGTTTCGCACGTTACGCTAAACCAATGAATTAATCAAAAATATAATTTGGTATCCTTACAACTTTGCCATCCGCCATATGCCTCCATCGCAACTTATCCCCCAGCCGTTCCGCGTTATGGAAATATTGGCTCATACGATTCTCCGCAGCCCAGTTCAGCGGGTCTGGTTGCGGTATCGCATCCGGATCGACCGTTGTCTCCATTAACGAATATAGACACAGCAACCAAAAGCCTACCTGCAGGGCGATAATCAGTATGTCTGCTACGGCGTGCATGACCCGGTATAGTTCATTGTCCACCGTGCGCAGAAAAAAGAGGAGAACGGAGAGCGCATGCTGGCGTATGACCGCGGATAGCTCTACGATGTAATTGTACGTGATGCGGTGTGCCAGCTCAGCTAGCACGGAAAAGACCACTCGCAAGATATCCGCTATTCGCTGTGAGAATATCACGATGGGCTCGGATTTCTCATCCAAAAATCCCAGCAGGAGCTGGAGGTACGTCGTTACGATGAGGTGGAGGGCAGCAAAAAGGCGTCTGTAGAACGGCAAATAGTTCCGTTCCCATATCGGCGGGAGCCACTCCATAAAGAGCTCTCGGATGTTTATCCGTAAACGCATGATGGTAGATTCGAATGTGCGCTGAAACGTGTCGGCTCTGATATCGTGGGATTCGTCCAGGTTGTTCCTTAGAAGTCCAGCTAAGGAATAAACAGACTACTTCTTAGTGATAGAGAAAGATGTATGCCTGTTGAGAAGCTAAAAGTAGAGACCTTACGAATGATAGGGTACAGCACAGCTTGAGTGTCAGGAGAGTAATAGAAGAGTAAGCATCGCTACGAGAAATATATTCGAAGCCCTTGGTATTGAATAGAATTGAGTTCTAAGGAGATTCGACTCTGACGTCGAAATCCCTTTAGTTACTTGTCCGGTTTGTTTATGTTAATTCATTATCTTGCTGTCGAAGTTACAAGGTCAATATCCAACCCTCGTGTATCACTATTGTTTGCTTCCTTGGTACCTATTTTCCTTGTGCAAGGAGCCTTTGATACCTTTTGTTTGGCTAGGTGATAATAGCATTGTCGCCTGTCCCCTTTGAGTTTCACCTTGTCATAAGCTGAGTCGCCTTTGCATAGAACAAGAGGCTCTTCTATTTAATTTACGATGTGAAAGGAGATCATGTCAAAGTATCACACATGATCAGCTACTGATAATTGATAATCTACTGCCCTGGAGTAACCTTAGTTGAACAAAGACTTGGCTGGGCTAGAGTGTGCTTGCGTGTAATAGTACCCCTATATGTGTAAGATTATTCAAATTTCAGCATAGCAGCTCGGACGTGTAATATACACATCGGAATATTGTTAACCACGCTCTACTTATTGAGTAGAAAGGCTTGCCATAACTGGATATGATCAATATGCTTGCTATATGAATGCTAAAATGCTAATGAAGAACCTTTGGTAGTATTAAATACCATAAACTCACAACACCATCAATTCCGAATATCATATATTGACGATGCATGTCACTCAACTTTAGCTAGATGCTTATATACAGATGCCTGCTATTACTCAGTTCAACAGGCTATGAATCACTCATTCGCATGCGCATCATTGTAGTAATGGATCTGTGGCTTTGTTAGTATGCTACTTTCTGTATTACAGACGGGCGAATTAAGATCCCGGGAGAGAACAAAGATATCTCTTACAGTCTGATCAGAGCATCCACTGGGTGTTTGATAGCCGTAAGCGCCGGTGTTGATAAATAGCGCCTGGTCTTTACAGACAAGCCAAGCAGCTAGGTTCTGACGGTTGATGTCCGGTACACTCCAAGCAAGGGCGTCTCCTTGGAAGACAAAAGTGCCAAATGTATTCTCGGTCGTGTTAAACGAGGTGGCGAGTGTTCGCGGCGGGTTCGCTAGGTCTGCTGGCTTCTCGACGTGTAAATATAGCGGCGCCCCCCCTTCGCCCGTGTTGGCCACCAGCTGTCCATCCTTGACATTGTACTGCCCCGCCGTCTTGTAGCTCTCTAGTATGGCCGTGCCTGGCGCATTACCTGGCTTTGTCTGGAGGTATTTGTGAAAATTGGGTGAGGCCACCGCGCGAACCCAGTACCATCCCGACTGTAGTGTCGTGCCAGGTCCCGATGACTGCCGCGGAGCTACGGGACTGGCCGAGGTGACTGCGGTAAGGAGCGCAACTGCAAAGGGTTGGAATAGCATCATGAATAATGCTGCCTTTAAGATATGTAAATGACCCTTTGCTAGAAAGCACTTTTGATAATAGATACGGGCACGATGTTGGAAGAGATTCGACAGCTAGAAGACAGGGATGTCAAGTTACATTACCAAAGTGCTGGAGGTAGGTGGTATTTATTCTGGCAATGATTATCCCGCCTTAGGTTCATCAGGAACACACTCAAGTCTTCCGGTGGATGAGCTTGTATAATGTGCAATATAGCTTCCGTGTTACTACGTCGGGTACGGAAAGCGTGGGAGACTAAGTGAAGTCGTGGTCGCGAAATTATTTAGCCTAAGCTCAAGATCGGCAAATATACCATACGTAGAAAACCTCCGTGGAGGAAGATCCAGACTAGCTTGCATTAAAATATCTAGATGATGCCATGTCTCTAACCTAGCTTATTGTTAGCTAAGCCTCTCAATGGTGTGCTTATGCTCTGGCGAGGAAGAGAAATAAAGATACGGTGTGCTGGAAGTCATATTAGAGATGATTGATTGAAAGCCCATATGGGCGGAGTGAAGTCGGGGGCCGCTATTTTAATTTATAAAGAAGCAAAAGCACATGGGATACTCACATGGTGAAAATTAAAAGAAAAACAGGCTTACTCCTTTGACGACAAGTCATGGCAACACGATATTACCTTAGGTATCCGGTTATGGAATTTATCGTTAGGCACTCCCCGTGACAGATTCCGGGTAACACCACATCTTTTACCCATATATCTTCGTGGCTGTGGTAGAAGTATTTTGACTTATAATAGTAGGTAATCGGGTTGTGATTATTAGTTTGGCTCACCGTCCCTCGCTTCTCCCAAGATACACGTTTGCAGCCCCCTCGATGTCAAGTCTTGTAGAATTAAAGACTCGACGATGCGGCTCCTTTGGCGGGCCCACCAAGATGTCGAGCTGGTAAGCAAAATACGTGCGGCTTGATAAAAGTGGTGGAGGATGACCAGAGCCCTGGAGTCGTGCTGAAGAGCAAGCTCACGGAAGACTACGCTACAAAGAACAGGGAAAGTAAAGAAACAACGTTCAATGTCAGGCTGAAGGCGCATTAACCTCTGGCATGGCGGGTGTCCACTAGAGGTAGATATGGACGCTAGGGAGAAGAGAAGAGATAGTCTCTTAGCAATGCGCTCAAAAGCCATCCGCTGGGGGGTCGCGACGTGTTGCGGCGACCCCGATGTTATCTCGGTGCCAGCTACGTCTATATGTAAACCTAAGTGCTGTTCCTCTTGGGGCGCCTTGTCATTATAAGGGTAATGTGTCGACGTTTGGAAAGCTGCGCACGTATAGTTTAGCTTTGCCATAGTGCAAGTATAGTTCGTCACCTTCTCTCGATCGGCAGAAATATTGAGATTCGGAGGAGCTGACGACTGTTCTTGCGCCTCTCCTTGCTTCTCAGATAATTGTGGCTGATAGCGAGGATCATCCCAGATTGCCATGAAGTAGTTGACAAATCTATAGGGGTTGTCTCCATATTGCAGGATGGTTTCTTCTATCGCAGCCTTTGGACTGTAAATACTTGCAGAAAGGAACACACTGTCGCTACCCCAGAGGATTAGGTATGCCTCAGAAAGTATACCTCGTACTCCGGAGCTTAGCTGGAAGAGGGGGTCTTGTGAAAGGCGCATGATCAAATTGTCATGTCCTTTGTAGTTTGGAAACTGGTCCCGCTCCTCAAGGAACTCTACATGACTCCACGAAATGTAGTGCATGATGACAGAAGTTGCTATCAGAGCTTCGATGTTCTGGGCCGTGACAGGATTGGACAGCTTTCCTCTAAAGAGCGAGGCCGACTTTCCTAATAGTTGGAGAGCGACACGAGAATAGCGAGGAACTTGAGGTCGTAGGGTAGAGATGTGGGTGGCCGCAAGACAGAGAATCGTACACATGATGTAGGGTTCCTATTATAACCGCCTTAGTTAATGCAATGCTGATGCATCTGTCACGGCTCCCCTCTAATCCCTATTTATAATGATATACGGACAGAGAGGAGGGACATGGGGAAGAGATTGCCACACCTGGAATGACCACGGAAGAACGTGCGGCCAGATTTCAGAGAAGGCGAGGGTGTTCATAATATCCCTTTGAAAATGATAGAATAGCTCTAAATGTAGTAAATTGATCTTGGTGTCATCCGAAACAGGATGACTAGTAGGTTGAGAAATGCATGGACTCAACCTGTTGTTATTTTTGTATATATCAGCTGTTGAGTGGATGCATCTTTCACTCCTCTTCAAACAGTTCGAACAGGGGGACTGCTCGTCACACTGCAGAATCACATGTTAATTACATATCGTCCTAATAGGTATTAAACCAGTGTACTACTAACCTTAACTCTTCGCCGTTTGCAAGCGAGACATCCATGGCGGCTCTTGTGATGCGGACGCTTCTTTCCTCTCTGATTCGACGGGGAGCCGGTCTCTATTGGAGGTCTATCGTTTGTGATAAACACAAAACCGCCGCTGTGGGCCGTCCGAGTTGCTTCTGCCCTATCTTCCATAATGATTGGCGGTATAAAATACTATGAATATGGGTTTAGGAGGTATTGGTGTTGCGTTATTTCTCTAGGATGTACCTAACCTTCAGTATGTTAGGTATTTCGCTATTTGTGCACGGGCCACTACCGAGGGGGGATAGTACACAGAGAGGAAGAGCTGGAAGGTTACCATAATGCTGGGACTGCACGTAATCAAAATTATGACCAATAGGGGAGGAGTGGACCTGCTTGATCGTTCTCTTTGAGGAAATAAACGAAATCGAGCCCCACCAGGCGGTCCCGCCCCGCTCCGTACCACCTCGTTCCCCTTCGAGAAGTAAACGAAGGCACGGAGACTGTTCCATACATGTTATCTAGGATACCTTCTGTAATATTTTGATGATATTGATGTTTTGGTAGAATTCTACACTATGTATAAGGTACTCATTTCTTTTATAAATATAGCCATATACCTTCCTCCTTCCAGAAGACATAAGCCCTCAGCACCTCTCCTTTCACTAGATTTCATTTATCAAGCATGAAAACCACTTAATTGATCACCACGATGTCTCTATCTAACCTTAATACCCCCGTCCCGGGTATTCCTTACTTTACACCGCAACATCTACACTCGCCGGGCACTCCAAAGGAGCTCTCCTCAAAGATACCCACCTTATTCAGACCACTCCGAATTCGCGGGGTCACTCTTCGCAACCGTATCGTGGTTTCACCCATGTGCCAATACTCCGCGGCGCCATCTGGACCTGAAATTGGTTCTCTAACGGATTGGCATGTTGTAACACTGGGCCATTATGCTATCAAAGGAGCAACTCTCGTTTTCGTTGAAGCTACAAGCGTTCAACCTAATGGGAGGATTTCGCCAAATTGCCCTGGCTTATGGGATGATGCGCAAATCAAAGGCTTGAGACGAGTTGCCGACTTTGTCAGATCTCAAGGTGCTCTTACAGGCATACAACTAGCGCATGCTGGCCGCAAGAGTAGTACCGCCGCACCTTGGGTATCTACGGTCCTCGGCAGAAAGTCCAAGAGAGCTGACGAAGATATCGGCGGTTGGCCAAACGACGTGAAGGGTCCTTCTGGTGGTGAAAGCCAGACTTGGGATGGCTTTTTTGATAGCGAGCAGAGCAGGTTCTGGCCTCCCAAAGCCTTGACAATGCAAGAAATTAAAGAGGTCGTTCAAGATTTTGCGAAAGCAGCAGAGAGGAGTGTGAAGGCTGGAATTGACGTGATCGAGATCCATGCTGCACACGGGTATCTTCTACACCAATTCCTGTCGCCAATCTCTAACCGAAGGACGGATGAATACGGCGGCAGTTTTGAAAACAGGACAAGACTTCTTTTTGAAGTCATAGAAGCTATCAGGAATGTTATCCCAGCAAGTATGCCGCTTTTCCTTCGCATGTCAACAACCGAATTTCTAGAAGATACCGACTTAGGTAAGGAACTAGGGTCGTGGGACGTTGAATCAACGATCAAGGTAGCGAGGCAACTTCCTGCTCTAGGCGTTGACCTGCTGGATGTTAGCAGCGGCGGCAACAATCCCGGTCAGCGTATTGACGGAGTTAACGTCAAGAACTGTCATGTCAAGATCGCCGGGTGTATCAGAAACGCCGTGAATGCTGATGGTTTAAAACTTCTAATCGGTGCTGTTGGCCTAATTACCGAAGCAGAACAGGCAAGAGACATCGTCGAGAGTACCGACACTAGTGTGCAGCTCAAGGGTGCTATTGATGAGGAGGCTAGGGCGGCGAAAGAGATGACCAACGCAAAGGATGGCAAAGTGCCCATGGCCGATGTTATTTTGGTCGGCAGGCAGTTCCTCAGGGAATCGGATTGGGTGTTAAAGGTTGCGTGGAAGTTAGGCCTAGATGTCTGGTGGCCAAATCAGTTTATGAGAGCTTCATATTCCGCGACGATGTAAGTAAGTGGTTTAAAGATAGAGTAGAACTTGCCTTGAGTATTCATCCACTTAGCTTTCTATGACTGCCTAGCGTTGCATCGTGCCTTTACCCGAGGTGTTAACGAGTATGACCGTAATACAATAAGATAAAGCGTACCTTTGTAACCGCCTCGCTAGCATTTTCGTTGATGTGTCGGTTGGTGGTACTGAAGGAAGTACTCTAAAACTAGCCCCTTGTTATCGACGCCGCGAAAGCCGATGTTTACAAGAATATCTCCTCGCTTCGCACCTAAACGTTAGTTAACCCGGAACATGGAGGGAGTTCTTGGAACTTCGGGTGTTCTGTTATATCTAGGTAGGTAGTCTCATGGCATAGGAATAATTAAGGAGAAAAGCATAAAATATCACTTTAATGTAGTTGACTCTACGGGCTGCATCAATAGTTATAGGTAGGCAGAAGTAAGTATATTCTCAGGGGTCGCCTGGTAAACTACCTATCTGTTCCCGTCCATAATGACCTCCTACTGCAATGCCCTAGGCAAATCAGAAATCCTCTGGTGCCCCTCGCGATCCACAGACCAACAGCCTCAAAGCTTAAGAGGCGACTTGTTGTTCCGACCTTGATCATCCCGATTGCGATTCCCCTCAGTGGACTGGCTTGGGAGCTGGCTTGGGATTCGGATGTGGCCTCGGGGTTGGCTTTGGTGGCCTTGGATTCGGCATACGAGGCTCGGCGTTACAATTGCCCCTGAATCTACCCATGGTGTTGGTACTAGTCATGGTGCCGGTATTGGTCATGATGCTGGTGCTGGTCAAGACTCTGAAGAGTGGTCTAGTTTTGGATGCGAAAAGTTTCGTCGTTCTGGTAATGCTCGAACTCGGAATTGAGGTAGGTGGTAGAGTTAGGTTTTTGGAATGAAGGGGCCAGGCCAAGGTGCGGGTGAGGTCGACTTTATATACCTTTGTAGAGCGTAAAATCTACCTAGTCACTCACTCAAAGGTCGAGCTCTGCGATATGTTCTGCGTCACATTTTTGACATAGGGGCAAGATGATATACAAGTGATTCATGCAAGCAGGATAATTATTGTGAATCGCTAGGGTCATTTGTAAGAGCCATCGTAAAGGACAGGTAACTAAGTAGATGGTACAAATTCGAATCTCTGACTATTTTTCAGTAAGTGATGTGTAGCATTCTGGATTGGCCTTCATGGTTACTGTAACGCCTTTTAGCTGTCATGATTCATGTCAACAATATGAGGTGTTGTGTCGAGTCTATGCGTGGATGTGACTAGTGGTGATAATGAATTGGTTAATGTTTGAGGGAGGTGTGAAAACTAGCTAGAAGGTACCTACCTAGGTACCTAAAGGTCTATATAGTTTTAATTCTCCCACACACAACTATGGCGTATAGGATGACTCGAGGACCGAGGCAAAGCCAGTGTCTTGCCAAACCTAAGAATGTATGTGACTGGTACAAGACACTTAATTACCTATCTTCGTCGTTCAAAAATATTTCACCATTATGTCAAGCGGCATTACTAGGAGCTAGAAAGCATGTAAAGTAATATATGGGTTAATACGGTCATCAATACACTATTATATTGATAGCTAAACCCCTGCTCTCACTCCGTGCTACACGATATCTTAACAAATTACCACGGTAGCATTTCCATCTAGTGCACCTTGAAACCGGCACCTACTTATAGGTACTTACTTTACCTCTTTACCTCTTTTATCACGTTTAAACATAGTATTACGTTAAGGGAAGGTTACAGAACATTTTCAATAAATCCGACTCCACGGGTTACACCAATAGGTGGGTAAAGGTAAATATATTCTCAGACATAGTCCGGTAAACTATATATCTGCTCCTGTCCATAACGCTCTCCCGCTTCGATTCCTCAGGTACTTCAGGAATCTCCTATGACTATGCCGCGCGGTATCCAATATGATCTAAAGATCAACAGCAACAGATATTGAGAGGCAATCTGATGCTATTTTTTTGTCTGGTGCTGATTGCAATACATATCGCATATCTGAAACGGCGCTGACATGCATTTTTTGTAGTTGGCGCACGTCGTAACGTATTCCGGTCCCCAAATATGGACTCTGCATGTTCTGCAGAAATGGTCTATCATGTAACACATGATGGTAAAGACTTTGGATGCGGGCCGTTTGTGAAGGCAGAAATGTGCTATCGTCTCGTCCTTGTGATGTTTAATTTGTTGTGGTAGGTACTGAGGTAGAATTGGGTTTTGGGATGGAGGAATTAGACTACGGTACAGCTGAGATCGAATTTAAATACTCTCCCAGAGGACAGGGCTTGACTTCTGAATATAATTATGGGTGATTTATAATGTGATTTGTATCGTATCGTATTGCTTGTTTGTTTGTTATAAAAGTGAAATAGGTACCTAATATATAATTAATTCACCCGAACAATATTGCTTAATATAATTTACTAGGTTTATTCGTAAAGCTTATTATAATACATGTATAAAACGAGTAACTAGATAAATAACACAGAATCGTATCTTTAAAAGGTAGCCATTTTATTAACGAGTGATGTTTATAACTTTATACTAGTTTGTATTATTACCACACCGAATTTTAGGTACTATGATTCACATTGGTATTGTTGAACAGTCGTCCTAGGCTAATATATGTGACTAGAATAATATACTTATTCATTATCTCTGTGATTTCCGAGATATTTTATTATTAGGCCGGGTAGCTTGCTAGGAGACATGAAATATAGGTACCTTAGGTACAAAGCAGTATCTTCTAAACAGTTTGATGGGCTAAGATCTTACCTATTGATGTAACTCAGCTTAACGAACATTTTTCATTGCGGTAATAACCACTCGTGAGATGAAATTACAATCAAGTAAGGGGTAGGAGTGCTAAAGAAAAACTACCTCCTCGGTGTTCAGTTCATATACCTACCAGGACCCTAGGTAAGTAAGTATCTGAGTTAAGTTAAGAATATTACAAAATAAGTCTCCAATTGGTGTTAAGCTGAAATAGACTGCTGAAGCGCCCCTTGAATTAAACGTAGATAGATGTGAAGACTTTAGCTATTATAATTGGAAACCACTTTACCCATAGGTGAAATAGGCTATTTCTAGCAATGAAATTAGTAATGGGGCTAAAATGTACAAAATGCTGTGAAGCCTCCTCGTCCAAACTCTAAGTAGAGGTTAGTAGAGGAATACAAAAAAAGGGGGCCAGATGTTTAAGCCTCTACATATAATTCGCGTACCGGGAATGTACCGTCACTGACGTCATCCATGTTGACTCGACTCCTTTATGTCTCAATATTGAACCTAAAGCTTCAACTGATGATAAACGTAACAACAAACTTGGATATATGATCATTTGGTGTAACTACCTAATGAATGCAAACGTCAGTTATGTCAATATATCAAGGGCACTTGAGACTTTTCTCACCAGAGGGTGCGCAAGTACTGCCAAACAAATAGTTGGCCGGTTTACTATTCACTCTCTCTCTAGAACTTATCGACCTACCGGATCCGAAGCATCGACAACAATTCAAATGAAGCGCAGTGCATCAGCAGTACCAAAAGCCACGTCAAGAGCTAAGAAACCTCGACCGGAAGTGCCCGAGTATCATCTAACCCCTTCGATACGAGACGAAGAATCGGGCGAAATCGTATGGCCGGCTCCTAGAGCTCAGATCGAGCGCGCTCGAGAATTTATTCTAGAGTGGCATGTTTTATAACTTATATCATTTCCACCTCTTAAACTAATAATTACAATATAGCGCTTCCGCAAAAAAGAAGACCTTGATTGTACCTGATAAAGATGCAGACGGGTTGACATCGGGCGCTATTTTGCAGAAGACTCTCGTCTTACTCGGTCTAGAGCCTCATCTCATATCGGTCCATCTGCTTCAAAAAGGCAGCAGTATCCATAAAGAGAATGAGCGCGCCTCTATGGCTGCTTATAGTCCCGAATACATCTTTGTTTTGGATCAAGGATCGATGAATTCGCCTCCAGTAATAGACGCCCCTCATAAAGCTTTAATCATAGACCATCATTGGGCATTGGAAGACGATTTCCCCAAGGGCTCAGAGCATGTCACAGCGTGCAACTCTCCGCCGGTCGCTACGAGCTCACTCCTTACCTACTACATTTGCAATGAGTTGCATGAGCAAGTGCAGAAAAAATGCGATTGGTTATGCGTAATGGGTACTCATGGTGACTTAGGCAATACGCTGAAGTGGGAGCCACCTTTTCCAGATATGAAAGCTACCTTTAAGGCATATACCAAAAAGGCACTGAACGATGCCGTGTCACTTATTAACGCTCCCCGTCGAACTGCGACTTATGGTGTTCCCGCTGCCTGGGGTGCTCTGACAGCTGCCAGCTCGCCCACGGAACTCCTTAAGAACCAGAGTCTCCTTGCCGCTAGGGCTGAAGTGAGAGCCGAAGTAGAACGATGCACCCACACGGCCCCGAAGTTTTCGGGTGATGGCAAGATTGCTGTTTTCCGCATCAACTCTCCCGCGCAAGTTCACCCAGTGATAGCAACGCGTTGGGCGGGGCACTTACAGTCGCCAAAGTTGGAGGTGATCCTAGTAGCTAACGAAGGCTATCTCCCGGGTATGGTCAACTTCTCGTGCCGGGTTCCTCGGAGCGCGAGGGTAAGGGATCCGCCTGTAAACATTATCGAAGTACTAAAGGGGATCGCTGCGAGGGCGCCAAACCCGACTCTACGCGAAAGACTTGGAGAGTCGTTTGCGATGGGACATAAAGAAGCTAGTGGAGGCATAGTTCCAAAGGCAGAGTTTGAAGAGTTCATGGACATCCTAGAAATCGGGAAGAAGCCTGAAGGAGGAAGTCCGAAGAAGGTTAAGAAAGCCGCTGCTCCGAAGCAATCAAATACCTTGACAAACTATTTCGGCAAGCGAACTACTGCTTAGGTGCTTGGGCGAGACAAGATGCCAGCAGCCAGCAGATCTTAAGATAAGGGTTGAGCAAATTTATAACTTTAAAATATGCAATTGGATTCTATCAATTAGTGACGAAAATTCATCTGTCGAAATATGATATCGGCGCAAGTCGTCGCGCTCACATTAGAGCGCACACCGCTCCCATAAGCTTTCCCACCCCACGCCTCTTGCTAGCAATTTAAGCCTTTGTCGACGCTTAACTCGTAGAGGTGCAGCACGAATCGACTCACAGTTTTCCTACCGATTTGAGGCCACGCTCACCGTCGACGAGGACGCACCAGCCGCCATGGCCGCTGCCGCCGTCCCCAGCGACTAAGGCGCCCTCGTAGCCACCCTCTTCCGCTCCTTCCGCACCACCGCGCGCATAGTCGAGCACCGCATCGTCCCAGGTGCCCGGCTGAAGCCACACGGCGGGGATACCGAGCTTCTTGGCCTCTTTCAGCACGGTCAGGGTCACGGGTGCTGGCGTGATGACCGACAGCGAGGTGTGCTGCGGATCGGGCAGGTCGGCGAGCGACTTGACGGTCGGGTGCACGCCGAAAGGCGTTTCTATACTGGCGCTCGCCGGGTTGATGGGCGTCACCGGGAGCGAGTGTGCATGGTACCAAGTGAAGACTTGAGCGTGGGAGAGGAAGTTAGCAACTTGCTTTTTTATAGAATGATGTTGTATTTATGTCGTATCTCATGTGCATAAACAGGCCACTTGAGCCTCCAAATCACGCGCACTTGTTACTTTGCGCTTGCAGCTGAGAGAGATCGGGGCGACCATTGATAAATGAGATGAACGAATGAGGTAACGGAGTGTTAAGCAAGGGGGACCTTACCCTTATGGCCGAACTTGGCGGGGTTCGTGCTCGCGCCCACCACGGCGAATTGAGGGGAGTTGAAGAAAGTTCGGACGGTAGTTTCGGTAGTCATCTTGAGCATTAATAATAGGTGGATAATGGGACAAATGTGGTCTAATAAGGTAGGTCTAATGAAAGAATATTAAGAGGGAGATGCGTTTGTTTGATATTGTTAAATGAGAACGATCTGCTAGTTCTAAATGAGTACCTAGGTAATGTTGAGTTAAATCGTTGAGAAGCATATGACATATGAATGATGAATGATGTAGTGTCCCGGTTCTCTTATCAATCCTCGAAGTTGATATCCCGAGGCTTACTTATACCAAATCTTGGCGCTATCGGAGCCGATCGATGGCGTATAATTTACCGGGTGTCGTCTCATTAGATCAATGCAACTGCAGCTGAAGCTTGACATTTTTCCAGCTGAGTGTACTTCTAGCCTTGATCCTTGACTATTCTTCTTACCCCTGACTACCTATTCTATAATACCAACAAATGTGCCTCATACTAAGATATACCAAGATCTAAAAGCCCCAACTTATTCTCGTTAGTTGAGTAGGTTGCATAAGAGATGGCGACATTTGCGTTAGTTGCGACCTTCCTTTTAAGAGGCATCTCGCTAACAGAAGTACAGCCGACCAACATTTTCAGCAAAAGCCTATGCAGCTTTTCGGCCGGCTTACCCCCCATCACTGTTCCGTACCGTGCTGAACTACCACAAGCTACCCGCATCCAACGGCACATTACTGGATCTTGGATGCGGCCATGGCCTTATCGCGCGCTATCTTAGACCCCATTTCAAATCAGTCATTGCGATCGACCCGTCAGCAGGGATGATAACGCAAGCAAAGCAAACAACGACAGATCCTACTATCACGTTTCGTCAGGGTAGTGCCGAGGATCTGGATTTCTTATCTGATAGTTCCGTAGATATGGCTGTTGCGGGTCAAGCCGCGCATTGGTTTAACTACGGTAAAGTCTGGCCGAACCTCGCCCGTGTGGTGCGTTCCGGCGGCACAGTTGCCTTCTGGGGGTATAAGGATAACGTGCTTATCGGCGCCGAACAAGCTACCGAAATTATGGAGCGGTTCGTCTACGGGTTCGGCGAAGTAGCACCGGGCGTAGAGGGAATGGGTCCGTATTGGGAACAGCCTGGGCGTAATATCCTACGTAATCTCCTACGCAGCGTGCAGCCCCCGGAAGCAGACTGGGTGGACGTTACTAGGCTAGAGCACGAGCCCGGCGAGGAGGGGACAGACGAGACTCGCTGGTTGAGGAAGAAGATGAAGCTAGGTGAGGTAGAAGGCTATGTGAGGACATTTAGCTGCTTCATTGGCTGGAAAGAGGCTCATCCCGAGGCGAAGAGTAGAGCGGACGGTGGAGAGGGAGATATACTTGATATCATGTGGGATCATATGGTCGATTCGGTACCGGAATGGAAGGCCATGGGAGAGCGGTGGCGGGAGGCCGAAGTTGAGAATGATTGGGGTACTTATATATTAATGGCTAGGCGCCGGTGATGTATGGTAGTACCGCTGGCGCCTTAATGTCATGATCATAAGGATCGTAGTGGCCTTATAGCATCTCCTGGCTGTTTTTTCAGCTTCATTATAACCGCCCTCGTCTCTGTTCCCCATGGATGCATATTATATTAGGTACCTGTAATCTAATAGAATTGGGTAAATTAGTTTCTTTTTAAAATATTTAGTGAATACAATACTGTATGTACCATATAATAATATAGGTATCTGAGGTGAATAATTAATAAGGTAAACATTCACTGATTCAACGGCAATGATATATGTAAGTGGCTCTATAGCGCTCATTGGTTCAATGCTTCAGCGGTGAATTCTGGCCCCGTCATACCGCTCTAGATTTGGAACCAAACAAATCGTACCAGTTCATGTGCATGAGTAACTAAAACAAGGTTAGGTTACGCCGTTGCCCCGTCAATCAGAAAGCCCAACTTGATCCACTTAATTGCCAGCACGCCTAGACTACGCTAAGGTAGGGGGGTAATTCAATTACATTGTTTCATCTCCGTTATTCAACTTTCCTATTACCTTAACCATCGTCCTCACAACTCCAGAAAATATCATCACAAACGCCGACTCCGTTTTTGCGCCGTTCCTGACCCAATCTGCTTACGATTCCAACATTCAATACCTCAAAATGGTGAGTTGCTCTTGTTTGCTTCGATTTACTGTCTACATGTATACCGTTGGAAAATAAACAAAGGGCTTCCTTGCTGCTGCCCCTCGTAACCCCCTAAGTCCTGGCTTAGTGTCGGTGTTACGCGATGGGAAACGACCAGTCAGCAGAATCCTTTCTCGGCGGCTAGCAACATGTAGCCAGCAGCGACGCCGCACCCAAGAATTACTATTCGCGATCCTTTCATTTCTCCGAAGCAACTCGATTATTGAAAAATAAAGCAATAGCAACGGCCTCATCGTATCTACATCTTTTGTGGATCTCAATTGCTTCGCCTTTATATCTTCTGCGTTTGATCGAGATTTTAAAGAAATTGTCGATATGGCTGCTAACGATGCTCAGGCTTCAACCAACTACAAGGAGGCTTTCTCATTATTCGACAAGCGAGGCAATGGCCGTGTTTCCCTCGACAGCCTCGGCGACCTCCTGCGCGCTTGTGGCCAGAACCCTACCTTAGCCGAGATCAGAGATTTGGAGCGTAATGTTGGTGGTGACTGTGAGTACCCCTATTACCCTGACAGTCTTCCATGCCATTATCTGTGTGCATGCGCAATATACAAGTATACAAAAATTGAGCGCCAGATGCGCTCTGTATATAATTAGGATAGGGTTAGCTAATATAACCGTATCGTTGTAGTTGACTTTGAGACTTTCTCGAAAATCCTGAATCGACCAGGTGGCTTCCGCGACCCCGGCGAGCCTGACGAATACTGCCGCGGCTTTCAAGTTTTCGATAAGGACATGACTGGCTTTATTGGTGTTGGTCAACTCAAGTACATCTTGACGAATCTGGGAGAAAAGATGACGGATGAGGAGGTGGACGAGCTACTTAAGGCTGTCGACACCAGCTCAGGACAAGTCAACTATACTGGTGAGTACAGGATCCTCGAAATCAACTAATAGTTGGGAAAAGAGCAAAGTCAATAACTAATACGGCGTAGAACTTGTCCGAACCATCCTAGCCAACTAAGATCATTTCATCCTCACGAGCATTGATGGAAGCTGGAGTTTAGAGGCGTAGAAATTATTACATGCACCCACGACACTTCTCATAAAAGAAGGGTATCAATACAACACATCATAGGCATAAATGGGAGGACGACATGGCGTTTGTTCATTGACGGGATTATGCGAAACTGGATTGACCTATTTGGTCTCTTACGATAGTCATAAGTCAGATACGGAAGAGAGGTGAATAGGATTGTATGGCGGTGGTGTGGGCATTCGGAACCCCTTTGCTTTTCACCGATTCTATACGTACCTAATATAAAAATTCTTCTCAATCCAGGACAACGGATTTCAATGGTTGCATTCGGCTTTGCAGATGAGAGGCTTGTTGGCTTTTGGTGTACGAGGTAGGTACCTGTTTTAATTGGCTCGTAACGTACCTAATTCTAGTTACGATACCCCTAGATTACAGTGTGATCCCCCCGCAATCTAGAAAAGGTCGGTGGGACGGGACTCGCAGGTGTCTTGGCTTCGTCACGATCAGCCTACGTTTTAGCTCCATACAACTTTCTAGACGCATCAATCAGACCGTTTAAACCCTCAACCTTACATTGTCACATATCCAAGGTGGACACCTGCATCTGATAATACCTACGCACACGCAATTAGGCTTCTATATGCCTGTTTGCCTAATACCTTCCCAGGCAGCCAGGTAATACCTACATTAAAAGCCCCGCGTCGGTCTTGCTGTATTTGACCCCCCATTGGACCCCTCAAACCCCTCGTGATACATACTGGCGAACTCTAGCAGAGCTACTTCCTCTAGAAATTACCACCGTCCTTCTTTCTTCCTAGTAGCTTCCTTTCTCATCCTCCTGCTCGCCATAGCCTACAATCTGGCTGCCCCACGAGCTCTTTCTCGTCTTACCTCGTATCTTAACCAGATACGACCAAAGACGATTCCCCCAACAACCATCTTCCCTCTCACACGCTCAACTTCTCCGGGTCGATCGATTGTGACCGCCACTATGGCTCCCGATAAGTACAAGAACCCTCCCCAGGCACCACCGACTTTCACGGGTACCAAGGAGTCTATTGTCAAAGATGCCCAGACCATTTGCGACACCACGAGGTCTTTGCTAGACAAGCTTGTTGCCGATGTGTCTGCCCCAACCGCAACGTTCGCCTCGGTCCTAGCACCCATGGCAGAAGATGAGAATCAGTCCCAGTTGAACACTCGGATCCTCGGCTTCTACCAATATGTTTCGAGCGACGCCGACCTACGCAATGCTTCCACCGAGGCGGAGAAGATCATGGATGAATTCTCCATTGAGTGTAACATGCGCGAGGATGTTTTCAAACTCGTCGATGCTACCTTCCAGGCTCAGAAGAGTAAAGAGCCCGATCTCGATGCTGAAAGCGTGCGGCTACTCGAAAAGGAACGTAAGGGTTATATCAGGAATGGATTAGGAATACCCCAAGGTCCCCAGCGAGACCGCTTTAAAGAGATCAAGAAACGTTTAAGTCAGATAGGTATCGAGTTTCAAAAGAATCTCAACGAAGAGAACGGCGGCCTATGGTTCACCAAGGAAGAATTGGACGGCGTTCCGTCTGACGTGACTGATGGTTTAGAAAAGGGAACAGGGGAGAACGAAGGAAAACTGAAGCTCAGCTTTAAGTATCCTGACCTTTTCCCTACCTTAAAGTTCGCTAAAAACCCGGAAACGAGGAAGAAGGTCTTCATTGCGAACGAGAATAAGGTACTTATACATTTATCCCCGATATTTTCTACTCGTACTAGGTAAAAAAGCTTTACTCGGACAGTCTTGGCTAATATACCACAACAGACCAACCAGAACGTCGCCCTCTTCAAAGAAGCTGTTCTATTGCGCGATGAGGGTGCCCGGCTCCTAGGCTATCCCAATCATGCCGCTTTCTGCATAGAAGACAAGATGGCTAAGGAGCCAGCTACGGTCAACACCTTTTTATCAGATCTTCGAAAACGCCTCGCACCGGGCGGTGAGAAGGAAACGAAACATTTGCTCGAACTGAAGAAAAAAGACGAGGAGTCGAGAGGTCTAAAACCGGATGGAAACTATTACCTCTGGGACCATCGCTTCTACGACCGCATGATGGTAGAGCAGGAGTACAACATTGACGAGGTCAAGATTGCGGAATATTTCCCGCTGCAAAGCACAGTTCGAGCCATGTTGCACATCTTTGAAGAGTTATTTGGCCTAGTTTTTGTGGAATTAGACCCTAGCGAACGTAAGAGGTTATCTCCGACTAGTAAAGCCGAAGACATTGCCTGGCATGAGGATGTCATACTCTTCTCCGTCTGGGACGATAGCTCCGAGGGTGATGGCTTTGTTGGCTATCTCTATCTCGATCTACACCCACGGCAAGGCAAGTATGGCCATGCTGCCAACTTCAATTTGCAACCCGGTTTCCGAAAGAAAGACGGAACGCGTAGATATCCTGCTACCGCCCTCGTATGTAACTTCTCCAAGCCGACGGAGAAGAAGCCCTCTCTCCTGAAGCACGATGAAGTGGTAACCCTTTTCCACGAGCTTGGACATGGTATCCATGATTTATCTGGCCGAACTACGTACAGTAGATTCCATGGCACGGCGACAGTTAGAGACTTCGTTGAAGCTCCGAGTCAGATGCTTGAGAATTGGTGCTGGACGCCTAGTCAGCTCAAGGCCCTCTCGAATCACTATGAAACTGGCGAGAAGATCCCCGACGAATTGATCGAGAAGCAAATCTCAACCAAACACGTCAATGACGCCCTGTTCAATCTCAGGCAATTGCATTTTGGTATCTTCGATATGACAGTGCACTCCCCTGCTACCCACGAGGAATTAGAAAAGATTGATTTCAGTGCCTTATACAACGATCTACGGACCCAGATTGCTGGCCTCAAGGGCCCCGAAGCTCTGGGAGAGCCAAGGTACGTTTCCCCATACAATGCATGCTGTATCGTGGTTGCCATGTAACTAACTGAAGTTGAATAATAGCACCTGGGGTAATGGACAGGCGACCTTCGGTCATCTCATGGGGGGTTATGACGCAGGTTACTACGGCTATTTATCCTCGGAGGTCTACAGCACCGACATGTTCTATTCCGTCTTCAAGAAAGACCCAATGAATGGAAAAGAGGGCCGTAGATACCGTCACACCGTGCTAGAGCGTGGAGGTAGCCAGGACGAAATGAAGACCCTTGAACAATTTCTTGGTAGAAAACCCAGCAGTGATGCTTTTTATGCGGAGTTGGGTCTTACTGCCATTGCACTTACTTCTGCAGTGTAAGAAAGGATTTATAGATAGATCAAGGCTATGGTATGGTCTAACATATATAGTATGGAGCTATTCCGAGGGTTGCAAGTTGTTGCTACTGCCTCTACTCCGACTATATACTAGTAGATCTCCTAATTCCTCTATTACTTTCATGGAGCCAATTAGCCTACTATATAACTTATTAAAATGCGAAATAAAGCTTTGTGTTATATATTCCTTTTGTTGAGATGTGCTTAGAACAAACTAACGATAGCGGTATAGGTATAACTATAAGACTCGTGGTATTCTTATAGAGACCCTATAGTGCATTTCTATGTTAATAGACTAGAGATACCTTAAGTGCCTAAGGTAAGTATCTAATATTTCTCATCCTCAAATCTCTTTTATTTCCCATTTAACTAAATACGCACCCAGTTGTAGCTTAAAAAATATACGATCAAAGGACGACATAAGGTCAATCGCTCTAAGTACCTGTCAGATTTATACCCGTGATTAATGTCACACACAGAGCGAATGTCAGGATAGTTGAATTTAACTATTAACGCATGCCCTTCTATCCTCGAGGGCGCTGCGCGCCTCTTATATACCCAATCCTAGTAGATCTACCCCTGAATCTACCCCTAACCCACTTATACCCTAACAGTACCAATATTCTTCTTTAAATACTAGGAACCTATATAATATAGGTAGGTAGTTAATGTATATTGGAAATCAATGGTTTAGGGATAAACCTGAGCTACTACCTAGCCGAAAACATTTTAAGCGATAGAAGAGACTGTATTGGACTAGACAGCTATATACAAAAAAAATGAACGTGTTCTAAGTGTATATGATTGAAACTATTGCTCTCCCTCCGATATATATTCAAAACCGCCCTATATACTACGCGTTACCCCTTTCACCCCCTTTTAGCATTGACAGAACAGCAGCTTAGTTGGTGCGGCCGAGGAGGCGGTTGGCGACGTCGGAGACGTAGTCGGGAGTAGCGCCGCGGCCGTCGCTGAGGTCGTTGGGGTTGACGGAGCCCGAGTTGTATTCGCGTAGAGCCTTGTAGATGCACTCGGCGGTGTCGGCGTTGCCGAAGTCCTTGAGGTTCTGCTTGAAGTGGTTGGTGCCGGCGCGAACCATGGAGGTGATTTGGTCCTGCGGTATTGTTAGTAGTTGTAATTTTTAATCCTCGGGACGAGTGGTAGAGTAGTAGGAGATAGGTGTATATGATGCTATCTCATGTAGAGATAACCCCTTTTTTGCCCATCCCCTTTTGCTATGGTTGAGTTACGTACTTGGCTGAGACCGTGCTGGCCAGGGAAACCAGGGCTGCCGTCGCATTGCATGAGGCCGGCAGTGGAGTGGCCGTCCATGTTCACGGTGGTGCGGACACCAACGTTGCCGGTGCTTTCTTGCATGATGATGGCAAAGATGACGCTGATATCAGGCTAGTTAGTGGTGTATTCTAGATCGAGGTGATTCAGGGGGATATAGAGATATAAACTAACCGCTCTTCAACACCGATCTTGGCGCATTCGTTGACGGCGTTCCAGATACGGCCAATGTCCTCGCCAGTGTCGCCAGTAGCTGCCATGGCGGACTTGTTGGCGTTGAAGATCTCCTCGAACGACTTCCACTGGTCCTTGCCGGGGAAGCTGGAGGCGGGGCCGGAGTAGTGAGTGAAACCCATTGTGACTGGTTTTTTAAAACTTCGAGGAGTTGTAGAAAGTGTGTAGTAGAGTGTTGATTAAGACTTGCTGTTGATTGTGGATGTTGTGAGTGGTGATTCTCTTAACTCTGTGGTTGCCAACCTGCCCCTTTTTATATTTCCTCGAGTCCTATCTCTTGCCACCTAGGTGTGCAATCATCCTCAGTCGTGGTTCGAAAGTCCTCCACTCTGTCATCCTCTGCTGCCGTAAAGAGAGCTTATTGCCGGCATATTGCGATGTGAAGATGCATGACCGCATCTCGTGGCCAGATGAGTTAGGATTGCTACATATCGTATGGGCTCCCCTTGTTTCCCCTATTCCCCGTATTCTGTCCGTGACTCTAGCCGGCAATCATAGCCACACAAATAATCGCTATAAGGCTAGTTTCTTTCCCAATGTGTCCTTTGGTAGCTTGCTGACTGTTCTTCACCTTCACTCAAGTCAGCATGCTCTTTGATATTAGCTCCCAATATCGTAGATTAGCTGAGCAAGACTTGACCATGTGGTCTATCATTCCTAGCTTTTATTTATTCGCCTTGCCAGACTCGGATTGGATCTTACCTAGGAGCTGCAATATCTTACGTAGCCAAGGGGCCAGAATATCATGATGAAGTCAGCAATTATGTCATCTTTGAGGCTCGCTTTAATAGCAGCCTATTAATAACCTTATTGACACATTGGGAACCTTTGTGCAATGATTTACACTAATATTATGTGAGCTTCAATCAATGCCACATATCTACCCCCTATCTCCCAGGCTGAGTTATGTAGGTACCGTACAACTCGAAGCCGTCTTTCCTTTCGAAGTTATTTAAATATAGTATTGTGATAAGAAGATCAGATCGATGAAGTGTTCATTTGTATAATTTGTTATTATGAGAATAAACAAATTATCCGTGTAAGCCACTATTCCATAGTAATCCTTAGAGAGTTAATCCCGTATGTCATCACTAAGCCCCATGGCGATACATTTGAGGCAACCAAGGCTCCCTAGCCTAGAAAATGATAGAAGTCGGGAGTGGGAACATGTTAAACTAGCTCATTATAGAACCAACGCTGGCGTAAGCGGCGATACTCGTTCCCAGCTCCTGCTGGTGGGTAGTTTGGAGAAGCCTCACTCACTCTTATGAGAACATCCCCAGGTTTTGAATGCTTGTACCTGCAGCTATTTGATGACAGGGAAACAGACGCCACATCTTGCTATGGGGTACGAAGGAGCCAATTAGTCCTAGCAATCTCACCTCACGGCTTACTGAGTATGAGTGTGATGGGTTAGCTACTACATCAATCGGTCAATAAACTACTAACTAAGTCCACCTATTTGTAGAGTATTATTAGAAAATGTACTAGGTACCTAATTATTAAGATTAGGTATGTAGTTAAGACAATAATTGACCTTAAATCGGCCCATCCGCAAGTCTTTCCGCTTGAAGAATATATACATCTGTATTGTATTTTATTGCTCATCATTGTGAGCATATACCTAGTCGCACACAATAGGGTGCTTAAAGCTATGTACTTACAGCTAGTGTAAGCCCTGGTAGACGCAATGCTATCTATTCAAAGAACATACATGTGGTTAAACTTGTTCCAAGCATCTCATTTCATTGCATCGGCCCAGGCATCACCAAACCTTTACATTTCGACTTATTCGTCTTTGAATTTGCCTGCTCTCATATGTGTACAATTTAGTGACGAATCTTACTCTACATGCCGATTTGGTAGTGTTATCGACAATACATAATAGTTCCTTGTCAGCTTAACTCTCATTGGCAATATTCTACCTATGTACCTAGATGTAGGAAGCTTAAGGTACTTAAGGTACGTACAGTACAGACTACAGAGTTAGATGGGCACTTTACCTAATGCACGTATTTTTGTGGCTGAAGTAACGGTGGGGCTAATGTACCTAGGTGGGACCGGAACGGAAAGTAAACAGAAACGCGGTCAAGTAGCCAATTGAACCCCGTTTGGCGTTTAACATCACATTGCAGCCGACTTCACAACCAAATTTCAAGCAATTGCTTTCTCCTTTGCAGTCTTTACTCGTGTTACTCTTCGCAGTTATATGATGCTATTTCTGTGCATATGATACACACTCCTTCCGCTTTAATCTCGAATATCTTTTTTGCGACGCGCCAGTAGACTTGTAAAGTCCGCTGTGCTCAAATACCGCTTCCATCCGATCAACCTCCTTTGCCAACTATTTTCGCATGACAGCTTCTTAAGACATGGATACCGACGAGACTACCGATCGTTACTTTACCTACGATGGTAGATTGGCGTCATTTCAATCTGCGCACCGACCTTCTGGAACTAAAGGAAAAGCTTCAAAGGCACTTACCTGGCCGCACAAACAACTTGACCCAGTCCAAGTAAGTCTCTACGCGTACAGAGACTTTGTTGGCCTATATAAATACTAATCATTGATGCCCAAAGTTTGCTCAAGCCGGATTCTACTTCGACCCTTCCCCCGAAGCACCCGACAACACTGTTTGTTTCCTTTGCGTAAAGGCGTTCAAGGGATGGGAAGAGAATGATAGCCCATTAGAGGAGCACCTACGATTGTCACCACGTTGCGGCTGGGCTATTGTGGCCGCCATCGAGGCGGGCCTAGGAGATTATGGCTTCGATGATCCTAGCGATGTACCAATGGCTGAAGCGCGGAAAGCTACGTTCGGGGGGCTCTGGCCTCATGAAGGGAAGAGAGGATGGAAATGCAAAACCAAACAGGTCAGCATATGTCCCCCATCATCTCCAGTCCGATTTTGCTAAATCGATGCAGCTTGTGGAAGCCGGTTGGAAATACACGCCGACTGCAGACTCAGACGATATGGCAACTTGCACCTATTGTTCTCTCGCGCTTGACGGTTGGGAGCCCAAAGATAACCCATTGTAAGCAGCGTGTTTTTTTACTGCTCTCGCATTAATTAACGTGTCATAATAGGGATGAGCATTATAGGCGGTCTCCGGATTGCCAGTTTTTCGCATTATTGAACCAATATAAGAAGGGTCCAACAAAGAAGAAAGGTAGAGGCAAGGGTGTTAGAGCCTCCCAGTCGTCCAGACTATCCTCTCAGTCTATCGCTACGACTGTTGCGTCTGACACAACATCGCTCCTTGAGTCTCATATCGATCATGATGATAGTGTTATGACTAGTACGTCCGTCATGACCCAAGGTGGCACAAAGCGGGGCAGGGCGAAAAAGACAATGGCCCCTAAGGGCAAGAGGACACGAGCGAAGAAGGAAGAGGTAGTTGAGGTGCTTGAAGATTCCCCTGAACCACAAGAGGAGCTGGCACCCCCAACGCCGCCACCGAAAGCTACTCGTGGACGCAAGCGAGCTAGTGACCCCCTTGAAGACTCGGAGCTGACAACGGCGGACGTCCCAGCAGCTAAGAAGAGAGCTACGCGCACACGAAAGGCGAGTGTGGCTGAGACATCCGTTATTGAACAAGAACCAGACCAGGAAATGTCCGACATAGATCCAGCTCCTAAGTCAAAAGCGAAAGGAAAGAAGGCCAGATCGACTATCACTCGCAAGACTAGAAAGGCCTCTACAGCATCCACTATATCAAATATTTCCCTCCAAGAAGATGCTGCTCATATGATGGATGATGAAGAACTTGATAGACAACTACAGGCCGATCTTGACCGACCGTTGTCAGACGACGAAAATATTGCAGCCGATTCAGATTCAGACCGAAAGAAAGCCCCACCTAAACATAAGAGCAAGAAGGCTGCCGTTCAGAAAAAAGACCTTGCAAGTCAAGGCGAAGCATCGAATGATCATGCTATGTTCGACCCTCAGCCCCCTCACATTGACGAGGCAGTAGTTGAAGATGAGCTGAAAGCGCTAGAAGCCGAGATGGAAATTGAGCAAGTCGAAGCACCTCCAATTCCAAAGAAGGGCCGTAAAGTAGGTTCTAAGAAGGCTTCGAAGCAAACAACAAAGAAAGCTAAAGAGGCCGAGTCCGCTGCGCCAGATGTCGAGACAGCAACTGTAGATGAATTGGCCGAAGGTCATGATGTGAGTATTGCTAGCAACTCAACTATGGTCCGAACTAGCCTTGCGTCGAATGCGGCTCCTAGGAAACGTGGTCGGCCTAGTAAAAAGGCGTCGATAGTAACTCCAGACCCGAATCCTGATGAACTTGCCGATGCTGAGGTCGGGGCTCCATCCACATCCGAACCTGTTGACGTTGGCGATTCCGCTGAAAAAATACCTTCGACAAAGACGAAGACTCTCTCCCCCGCAGCAACGTCTTCTCCTTTAGTCAGTAAACCTTTACCTCCGCCTCCAATGGAGTCGGATGAGCTCCAGCCTCCTTCAACACCTATTGCCTTAACGTCTCCAGCCCCGGCGGCAAATCAGGCGGCTTTGTCGCCCTCACAGTCGCCTCAAGCCTCTGATGCTGAAAACGAGCCCCCATCTTCGAAGCCCTCAAATACTGCAAGTAGCGCCCGAATTGTCCTAGCTCCCATGACTTCTACGCCTGTACGCACCTCACCATCCAAACGAAATGTTCTGGCTGGGTTACAGAGCAATACTCCCTGGACTGCTGTCGATGTTGATATGGTTTTCGAGGATATAGATAAAGAGAATACCTCTGGATCAGCGAAGTTCTTGAAAAGTGGTGCTGATCTCACTAGCCCTGAGAAGCGAATGACTGTCGAGGAGTGGGTTTACCATAATGCTGAAGAAGCCGAGCGGAAGTTAAAACACGAGTGTGAGACCATGGTTACAGCCTTCGAGAAAGAAGGAACGAGAGCCATGCAAGCTCTTGAAGGCCTTATCGTCGACTAAGCGAGGAACAATTGGGTTAGGTTTAGGATGGTCGGCCAGGAATAATGACTACAGTGTGGAACTGGGTATGATAGGATGGACGTTACGATAACCACGTCGGCGTTGACGGTTTGCTTTCGGATACAGGAACTGGATGGAGCTGAGATTGATGCGATTCATCTGTTTGTCACCAAATGAGTGATATGAAGAGATACATGTGAATAGAGCGATTGAAGCACGAGTGTCGTTGTGTCACGGCCATTGGCTCTATCATCATATGTACCTGAACGATACCAAGATGCATTGGTTATGAATTCTTGGTTTATTTGCTGCACGCATCCTTGAGGCGCTAATACTACGGAGAATTTAGTGATTGGGTAAAAGTATGTCGTCGTACATAGTAAGATCGATTTGATAACTACCCGTTTTCCTAGGTTGTATTCAAACATTGACATGGAGGTAAGTTCACGTTTCAAGGGGAGAAAAAAAGTCTTATGATGCCTTATAATACTTTACAGTAGTTTGTCTTTGTGTGAGCATTTGTGTAGGCGGGTGGCTTCCTATCTACTACTACACCAACTCAAGGGAAAGGCCGTATTAAAGACAAGGACTAGGGTAGTTGATAGAAGAGCGAATGAGATGAGAGGGAAATGCCCAACTAAGTAAGTGGATACTTATAAGGTCATTTACATGTATACCGGTTGCTTCTTTTATATGAGGGAATCGCCAGCAAAATTATCACATATAGTAACTCTTAGATATATAGTACCGAGGTCTATATATGTGCTGTACACCGAATTTATTAAAGTTGAAAAAAGCTATAAGATTTATGGTTGTTATATAAACTCATCGTGTTGTTAGTAGCCCAAACGCCCATGGAGCACGGACCTAATGTGTAGGTTAGTAAATCTATCACATTAAACCCACAGAGGTCCGGAATAAGGTCCTCTTACTTTAACATTTACTAAGTTATAAGTATTAGGATTTTCGATGAGACATCTAGAACAAAGGATACTGTTAGTATGTATAGCCGTAGGTTCCTATAGCAGGTACCTAGGTAGTTTAGAGCAAATGACGCGAGGCAGTGTACAGGTTGCAATTCTTAAATACGGGCTAGTTACCAATGAGTAACGTACTTGGACAGATTCTCTTTTCATTTCATATACTTATATATCTAGTGGTTCTCTCTTTCGTTTCTTGCTTTATGTAGCACCATCACTAGTAGCTTCGGACCGTTGAAAGTATCGATTTGAATGATTAGGACTGTCCTTAGCTTAACCTGGGCTAATACGTTAAGTGTTCTATAGTCCGTAAGCTAAGACTGCTTGATCCATGATTGTAGTTTTATTGGTACGCTAAAGACATGTGTTAAGCGTGGGGTTGGCGGTAATTTTGCTCCGTTCCTGCATTCTACCGGCAGCTTATGCGGCTCGGCTACGGAAGATTCTTCGCACTAGAACAACCGTGTGAAAAATAGTCTTATTTAGGTAGTTGTAACATGTTAGAGAACTTAACTAACTTTTTGAACAGGTAGTGACTAAATCTAAATGAAACAATAGACTCGCGATCCCGTGAGAAGCATGTAGTAGGTCAACATTATAGAGGTCAGTTCTGAGCTCAGGGGTAAATATGATCACACCTTATCCACCAATGAGACAACTCATATTCAATAATAAAAGTAGAGCGAGGGAGGTCTATATTATACTATATAACGAATTGAATTGGCTGTGGAATTCGGACATGAAGGACAGTAAACCTAGCGATGGTATCTTTCCGCTCAACTCCACTCGCAGCCAACTCCCCCATTCCCTCATTGACAAGATTTAGAGGCCGGCTATTAAATATACATCGAAGCAAGCCCCCTTTCTTTTCCCTCCGGTTTTCCGATAATTGGAAACCGGAAATATGTTCCCAGTGGTCGTAAAATCGTCTATTGACATGAATAAACATAAATACTAGTCGTTTTCGGTTTTATAAGATTGATCGGAACAGGGAGAACCGAAATCTCATTGGAAGACAGCGAACGCCGGTTCCACCGATGTAATGGCGGATCCGATTTAGTGATAGGGCCGGTGGCTTGAAGTCGCCCACCGGGCTCCCCGATGTAGCACGCCGTCGGTTCGCGGTCGGGACGGTGCTTGGAGAGATATGCATCTAAGGTCGGACGAGGGCAATGGGGTACTCCCTGAGTCGGCGCTTGAGGACCTCATGCGAGACCGTGCTGTTAACTGCGCCCGATGCAAACGAGGAACGAGGAGCAAGGGAAGTCCCGTTGGTGTACGGGAACGGGGCAGCAGAGCCGACCTGGAGCATGGCGGCGGCGGCCAGTAGAGCAGCGAAGAAACGAGCCATGTTTGATGTTTTGAGGGTCTGTACCGACAGTTAAGTGACAGAGAGTTGAGAGCTACGGATGCGATTGACGAAATCGCTAAAGGAACTGCTGCGAGATCTCTCATCAACTCAGGGGGGGGCAGGCGGACCTCCTTTTATGGTCGTGGCCGGCTCACGGCCGTACCGCACAACAAAGGATCGGCATATGAGTTGTAGTATTCGTAACTACTGACTGATGTTCCTAGGTAAATCTTCATATCTCCATCATGGCAACATTTACATATATGAATTCATTATCAAAGAGGCCAACCCAGACGAACCCACCCCGTCGACCAATCCCACCGGGGTTAATGCCTATCTCGACAGGGCCACCCCAAGACAAGGCAAGGCCAGGGGCAAAAGGTTAAACCAGTAATATTCTGCGTTCAAAGATCGGCAGCCGGCGCTACTGGAGCAGCCGCATGCCTAAACGTTCAGATGGTGGTGACATGGGTGGTCGGTGAGTATCAACTACCCTCGCAAGCTTTATCCTATCATCTTCCTTGAGAAATATCCTACTGCAGCTATAGACGCGGCGCGAATCATGCAGCTGTGACCCAGGCCGGAAGAAGTAGATAGCGTTGCATATTACCCACTCGGTTACCAATCAAGCGATTGCGGCGACGTGATATGCTTGGCCAAGTACAATATGTATTCGCCATCCTGGTCTACACGTTGCCTTTTCCTTGAACTTCATTGCTTGGTAATGATTCGAACGACTATTTCCCAGCAGTTGATATCACTTTGCGTAACAATATTTGAGTCGATGTAGCTAGCAATAGGTACCCTACTCACTTATAAATCAATTATCTAAATAGTTACGCGTGTATTCCCCTTCGGAGTGAAACACTCGGTCATCGCTGAGTTAAACTACAGTTCTCGTTGTGTTTTATAATGGAGTGGTCATTATTCGAGAACGCGTACGGTTGAATTCCCATCGAGGAAATAAGAGGCAAGTTACAAGTCCACAACCAACCACGGTCTACTACATAAACTCAACGTGCATGAGAGAACTAAACTGGCAATCAATATCGAAGGGGTCCTCTGCAAGTGGGGTGATACAGCATTAACTCGTTGGCCCTATGTAAAGCCCAACCAATGTAGCCGGTGTTCCTGTTTATTAAAAAAAGCCGGTGACGGGCCCAGAGGTTACATTAGAAGAACGGGAAAATTGTAAAAGCTTAGGGAAGCTTGTCTAGCTCCTTGGCAAGATACTAGGACCTATGCTTCCGGCCTGCGATGCTCTATAAAGGAGATAAGAAATAAGAAACCAAGGGGTGTATTGTGCGGGCTTTCATGTAATAATTTATTTACGTCTCTTTCGTACGAGTCAATGGATATGAGTTCCAATGTGATACGGTCCAATAGGAGATGTTCTCCCGCGTATGGTGGATTATAATTCAACTTGTCATCGGTGCATTATTGCGTTACAAGGAACTTATATAGAAATAGATAGCAAGAATAGACATGACTGTTGATATATGACCCCCATTCTCTACGAAACGCGTGGACCGAGTTTCCCAATTCCGTAAAGCGTTTCGTTTCAAAGACAATGGAGGCTACGAAGGCAAACGGCACTGGGCTGCATAACCGCATCAACAGGGGAATCCAAGTGCCGATCATAGCGTGCTGTCAGTCGCGATTCAGTGCCCCGATAATAACAGGGACGGTAGACGGTAAAGGATGCAAGATTCGCTACCAGCCGAGAGAAATCTTTGTCCTTCTTGGCGTTACCCATCTGCCAGGCACCCAGGCACGGAAGAAGTCAATTAAGGCTGATCTTCGCCTTTATCAGTAGGCGGCATACACACTGCATAAAACAACCTCCGTTATCTTCTTGGAAAAGACTTGTAATTCTCGCTAAACAACAACAAAAAAAAAAAAAGATTGGAGACGATTCCCGGAGCTCTGGTTATAGCGAAGTTACTGTATACGGAATTCCGAATCTCTGAAGATCATCTCTTACATCAGGGTTAGGAGAATTTTCCCTTAACGCAAAATTAATCTTTCATCCGAAAGGAAACCTAGCAGAATATCCATTAACTATCAGGAGAGAATAACGGTGATCTTCGGAGACTCGGAAATGTATACCTCAAAGATTCTACATAAGATAGCCCGAAGAAGAAGAATAGGATTATGAAAAAAGAGCCATCACATCGGATGCATCACAATGTGGTAGGGCAATACCCCGTACTATAGAGAAGTCTCTCCCAACAAATTCTTACCGAGAAGCAAAAAGTCGTAACTTGCATCCCTTTCGATTCTAGATCTGCAACCTTAAAGCCTATTTATCAGCATGTCCAATCAAGAAGCACAGCTTATATTATAAGAACATTCTGGTTGCTAGTTTTATAAGAGAGCTGTCACTATCAGAGTCTCAGTAAGGAATCTCATATTAAAAGAGTTTAAATTCGTTAGAGCGAGGCCCTTGGCAGTGATTCTTTTATCTACTCGCGATGCTGTAATTAGAACATGTAGGTAGTCAATATTGCTTATTCACCATCAATGCCACTTCATACGCCATCACATATTTCTATGCGTACTCTAAAAGCCTTTTTTTTTATTTTTTTATTCTTAGCTGCAACGTCTTGGCTTCATACCCCAGGTTTGCAATCTACAAAAGATCCTCTACCAAAACAGAGATCCCCATCGACGCAGTCGGTCCCGGTTCCTGTGCGACGTGAATATTAGCCGCCTCGAAGACCGCCTGAGGTAATGAGAAGGTTAGCTAATAGAAGACTCTGCTCGCAGGGTGGTGTAACGCTGAGAATCGGCGTCGAATATAACATAATCCCTCCATCAATCACACTTCGGGGTGTCGGACTACACACGACCGAGAAGAACATAATATATCCGTCTATTCAGAAGGGTTCTGGAGCTCCTTTTTCCATGCTCGACTGCTATGGACAATCTCGTCCCTCTTGTTTGTTGACCAAAACCAGCAAGTTAACAAGAGATAACTAATAGAAAGGGATGTGAAGACTTCCGCTCAGCCGGTTAGCATGGTCTAGTAGATTCCGTAGTATTCTATTCTTGCTCTTCTAATATTACTTCAACACGACGTCCCTGCTTATATTCCTCCATATATACGTTATAGAGCCCTGCAAGCCGTTTTTCTCATCGAATATCACGTATTCCGGCGAAGCTTCGAGTAGCCTACAAACGGATATTATGTATTTGGTTGACGTAAATACTTGGACTTCGCTCACAGAAAGTAGCTACAGTAACTTATCATCTTGACAACAGCCGGTACCAACAAAATATAGGCTAGGCGTGTATTTTTCTGAAGAAGGATATTTCGAACCTTACCTAGCCAACGCTTTCATCCAAACACTATTCGCTGCCAGGTTAGTCCCGAGTAGCAGCATGGTAAATAGAACCCTACCGGTTAGAATAAAAACGAGAGGAGGCTCTAGCAAGAAACGAGCTACAACTCAACGGCCCTCGACACAGTCCACCAATGCAAATCCTCCGGACGCACACCGATCTTCTCCCAACTCCCACCTGGACATCATTAATAAGGTATATATCCAACATCTATCAGTTCCTATATCAATTCCCGCCCCTATTTTCTCGTACGATATCCCGATTGCAAATCTACCTTGAATGATGATGATCTTACCAATGTCGTCAAACGCAACCCACGTTCCGCCGGATTGACGTTGGAGACGCGAGATCGTCAGAGAGTTGCCCTCGGACACGCAAAGGTGCCAAAGAAGGTATTGCTGCAAACAGATTAATTGGTTCGCCTAACAGAAGTATATCTATCGCCGTGATAATCAATCGTTCAACAGCCATATAGCAGATCTCGGACGAACTCGGGCTTCCAGGCAGGGAGATTGTAATCTCGGCCGGCTTGGAAAGGAATACGGCTTGAGCTAGGTAAAGCTGTATATCTACCTAAGAGGTAGGTATGTATATTAAACAAACTAGGTAGGCCGTTTTAGATCCTCTTAAGCATGGAAGCCTGCACGCTGGGGACTACGTAAACTAAACCGTCACGCTTACGCGCTATCGTTATTATGAGTCTTGTCACGATGCTGCGGTCAATTCATATCCATATTAACAAGCGACGACGATCTATCATAACTTTCCGTGTTATTTCCCACCGCCTTCAGGTTTAGGCAGCTTGTCCATGTATGCGGCAAGTTGCTCGTCACTGCTCTGCTTCCCCCCAGCCATTTCCATAGCATACTCAGATGTGCCCTCCAGGTTTCCATCATCTTCTCCTTTCATATTAGATTTTGTAGCTACGATACCGTCTTGAGTTTCTTCATTATTACTTTTAACATCCCCGGCAGCTTCGTCCTTGATGCTGCTAGCTTGACTGACATCTGCGCTATCGGGACTCTGTACTCGTAAACCTAGATTTCTTTCATTGTACGGATCCTCGTTGTTACCGCCTTTCCAGTCGGCGGCTGGCATCTGCGGAACAGGTGCGTTGATGCTGGGCATAGGCATGACTGTTTCCTTCACTTCACCTTCTGACACGACAGATCTCCACACCACCGCGATTCTATCAGCAGCACGTGTGCCTTTTTGGCTTGACCCTTTTATTCCGTCCAGTTTATCCCAGTCGATGTCAAAGACTCCGTCCAAATCTGGATTGCCGTCCTGTTCAGGCCCGTTACCCTCGAAAAAGGTATTGAACCACACATGTGCTACGGCAGTGACCATGGTGAATCCCATTGCGGCGGGCGTACGATTGCGTCGTTCGATACATATGTTCACATCGCTATTAGGTAATCTAATCGGCTTGTGAGGCTTAAAAATGACGGCCATGCCTCCAGGTTCGATGTCAGCATCGTTCTTAGAAGTTGACGAAGATGAACTGGTGGGGATCGTGGGTTTGGATTGGGGGCTGGTTTCGGGCATACTACGGGCAGAATGTACGGATTCAGTAGATGAACTCTGAGGGGGACTGGAAATAAGTTTCGGGACCGGCTTCCTTTTTAGTTTTGATGCTGGCGACTGTGAGGTCTGCTTAGGGGGCGTCACTGCAGACTCATTATCATTTACTTCATCGGTTCGCTTTGCTTCGTCGAGGGTTTCCTGACCCGTTCTAGAGTTAATCCCATAGCCGGCCATATCATATATCATATCCAAAACTCCGGTGTCGCCTGGTGCATTACCTTCAACTATGACTCGCTCTTTTTTGGAAAACGTGTGGAAGATCTTGATCTTTTTGCCTCCGTCCACGTAACCTTCAACAGAAAGCTTGACACCAGAGCGTAGCCCCCAAACATGTATCTCGACAATTTCCAACTCTCGGTCGACATATTTCTTCCCTCCCTTAGTCCAGCGATCGACGTATCCTATCCATCGTAGCTGGCTCGGGATAGTCACGCCTGCGCCAAACTTAGGTCGCATTCTTCGCTCTGTGAATCTCGCAAGTGCCTGCTCCGGAGTCCAGCCGCATTCAGCAATGAGATAGCTACAAGCCATCGTGCCGCTGCGACCCTTGCCGGCTTTACAATGCACAACAACCACCCGGCCAGCTTTCTTATCTTTCCATGTATCCAAGACCTTTCCAACTAGATGCTTCTTTTCGCCGGGAGTCTCCACATTATCAGCGTCGAGGTCGTTTCCGTTCAGCCAGTTCCTCATGCTCGCAATGATCATCGGTACCAGCCTGAACGGGGGTGGATGGTGATCCGGCCAGGGATAGTGTCGAATCCGGTTGTAAACGAGCTCGTCCGGATAGCCGGTACCTTCGGCGCGAAACTCCCATATTGCCCAGTTCTTCTCATGCTTAGAATCGAGAAATTCGACAAGGCGGTCTAGCGGATTGCGATAGGCACGTTGGGGGTATGTCTGAGAGGGACCGGACCTGACGATAGGATCTCGTCAGCACTTCGTCGGTTACAGTAGCGAAGTAATAAGAGAAGCAATAGAAAAGTAATAGAAAAGAGGGGCGAGTCTGAACGCACGTTGCGATTATATTATCTGTGACATAACAGAGATCTAACCCTGCTTCAGGATGTCTGGCGCGAGGTCCTGCGACGATCTGGCGCAGCAAAGAAGCCATTTGTTCGAGTCTCTTTATCGGGATGACTTGATCGGCGTACTGGCATCGTGGGCTAACCGCTCGTCTCTACATCAAAATATCGAGGTAGATGGTCAGGTTATCCTACATGGTATTTATTTATGAAGGTACCTTGTACTATACATAATGTAGGGTGGAGAGCAACCTTGTTTTTTTTCTTTTTCAATTCAATGACAGCTCGAGGCTATAAGTCGGTAGCTTCTACATAGGAGGTAGTCTGTACGTCATCAAACATGGAATTGGCAACAATGGAGACGAGAACGTCAGATCACAAGGTTAAATTACATAAATCACTAGGTTAGATCACTGACGGGGTCCAACTTGCTTCTTTGGTAGTTGTGGCAATTGTGGCCGAAAGTGTGGCTTGAAAGGGAAAGTGAACCTTATCTTAGCTGTATATAGACAAGTCCACTATGACGTTCAAGGTTTAAGGTTCATAGTAAGATTAGGTACATAATACATAATAATTTCTTATCCGTCACCTTCAATACCTATTCGAGCCCAACTTACAACCTACATTCCACCCGCGATATATTCCAAGATAATATCCTAAGAATTTACAAAGTCATACTTTTCCCCATGCGTTGCTCTGTGCCCAGGAGCCATGAACGGATCAAGCCAATCAACTACATCCAGATCTGGATATACCCACCAGTCCTCACCATGGGCAGCATTCCCAACTCTATTAAGGTCGCTCATGAAGTAATGTATTGTTCTTGGAGGAAGTTGAAGCCCGAGTAGTAAGCTATGTACTTGAGAATCGGTGCGATTTAACATACGCGTGGCGAGCAGTACTGTGCCCTTATATACTTCATTCGTAGCGTAGCGCGAAAGCGCTAGAATTTTTTCCAAGACGACAAGCCATTCGAGTATGCTAATCACCCAGGTCAGCTTATATCCTTTTCTAATACAGTACTGTTTCCAATATAGACTTGGGGGGGGGCGTCACTTACTGGTCAGCGTCGAGCGTTCCGTGCATCGTTCTAACTTCTATCGTCGCGGGGTTGTTCTCATCAGGATCATCGGACTTCTTATCACCCTTTATGCGTACTCGGATGGCCGGCCTGATATAGTCCATCTCATCATCTTCACCGCCGGCCAAAGCATTGGTCAAGTCGGTAATTGACGTATAATGCCACACGTTTTGAACGAATTCCCTCATGCGTCTATCGGTGGTCGAAATATCAAAGTGATCGTCCATGGCTGCTCTATTACGAGCTCTCTCAGTTGGGCTAGAACGTGGTAAACAACCACTCTGCCTATAACGAACCTGTGGATCGGGATGGAAGAGAGCTTGTCCGAGGCATGTGCCCTCATCTAAATTGCGACACCATCTCGTCGTCGGCGAGCCCCGGTCCTTCCTATGAAGATGTATAAGAACCGGCTCCATTAGCGCCCAGAGCGTGACAAATCTCTTAATCTGTAATAAGTTCCACCCATGCTTATGGCCCAGGTGCACATGGAGTCCCGATGAGGCCTCCATAGGCTTGTGACAACGCAGGCTTCCACGAAGTGCACTGCAAGCCTTTCGAATGGCTTCATGCGCCTTTTTATCATGAATGGACAACGGAGGGCTAACTACCTCCGCACCAAACCACTACAAAGACACGTGTTAGTTGGTTGTTCTCTTAAATATGTGCTCCGGGAGTTGAGCATATCTTAGAGGAGATAGCTCCCCAGTAGTCTCGAGAACTTCAAAAAGGAAATCCAGGTGATCTAGATGTTACCTACGTAATAGTCTCGCATGGGCCTTTTGCTTTGGTTGAACATGGGTATAAGATAGCGGCTAGGTACCATACCATCTCCATGTAGCGAAAGATCTTCCACGACCGACCACGCTGTGTAATTCGAATTTAAGCCCTTTATTGGAACATGTAGTGAATCTTCTGCTGTGGCGAGTGCAAGTCTATCTAACGCTCTTCTATCCTCGCAGCTCTGAGAGAGTTTAAATTCGAAATTTGCTGTTACCTGATTGCGATGAACGTTATTGGGCCAATCATAAAGGCATTCTTCTACCCTCTCGCGTGCCGAATCAACATCATCAGTCTTCATTTTAAGTATATCAACGTCATTGGATTCACAAAAACGGCAAAATTCGTCGACAAATCTAAAGCCAATTCTCCCGTTTTGGTAATGTGTTCGGTTAGGATCGTACTTTTCGTTGACGGTAAATCTTCGCAGAACACTCTTCCAATTCGGCGTTTCATCATCAGTGAAATCGCTTTCTGATAGATCTTCCATGTACATCCCCATATTATCCTCGTGGGCCGGTACCCCGTTGCGTAGCAGCAGTCTATTGCGATAATCCCAATGTTAGCGATTAGGTATTCTCTCATTCAAAGAGATGAAGAATCATGATCTCTGAGGATGGTATGAAGGTTGGGAAGGAAAAAAAGACGAATAGAAATGGGGGCCCCATTTACGAACCTGACAATTCTCCTGGTAGCGTATCGTTTGAAATATAATGTATCTAGGTCGTCGTCATCATTGCGATTGATAGCGCGAGATTCAAGCTTTCGTGATATCCAACGCCTTTCTCGTGGATGTGGATCTATACGATATTCTTCTCCGGGTCTTTTTCTCATGGCCGATGATACTGCGAGGAGAAATTCGAGCTCTATTACCTGTTAATATTTGTACGCAACGCGGGTAAAGATACTTGTTGAGACGTGTATTCTTGGCCATAGCTGCAGAATGGCTTAAAGGGGGGGGGGGCTCGGTTATGATTGGAAACCAGTATCGCTACGTACTGCCGTATAGTTAGCATACTGAGGTGACAATGAAATCTTCCACACGAAGATTGGAAAATAAGGGGTGTCTCTTAACTGACCCTATACCAAAAGTCATTATGTCTTCATCGGAGTTTTTCTCACACACTTCGGGATCGTCTGGCTCTTTTGAATCCACATAATCTCTATCTGCGAACTTATTTGGACCGAAGTCCTCCATCCACCGCTCCGTTTGGCCCTGCCCCCAATCCGTATCGTCGTCATCGTCGTCGTCTTCGTCATCCTCGTCATCTTCATCGTCGTCGTCGTCGTCGTCGTCGTCCGTCTCCTTCCCATCGTTATTGTCATCCTTTTTTTCGTCTGTCCCCCAACCCGGAACTTTGTGGTGTACCCAGTCCGATTCGTCTTCCTTGACTACGGGTACACGCGTCGGCAAGTCGACCGACCACTGTATGCTTGAGTTGGATTGGTTGAATCCGTTCTGGGCGACCTCGATAACTCGAGCGGCAGCCTCAACTCCGGGATCGTCCTGACGTTTTATAGCATTACCCCAGTCCTCCACCGGGGCCACCTCCTGACCTTGAGCTACTGGTGGTGGTACTGGTGGTGGTAATGGGTTATCCGATGGCCCCGGAATAGGCGGCGGCGGCAAAATAGGATATACCAGCTTAACATGTTGTGGTACGGGAACAGGCGGCAGATCTGGAATTAACGTTGGCTGATCAAGACCGGGAGCGTCAGGCATGGGTTGGTCCTCGGTTGGCCTGTTGTGCACGACCGTCTGTTGGGACGTACTTGGCCCAACACTCAGATTTCCGAGCCTATCAAGTAACCGTTTCACGGAACCCTGTTCTTGGTCTTCAGCCCTACCGGACGCCCCTTGGGCCCGATTTCTTTCGGACCCATGACTTGGTCCTGGTGGCTCAGGAAGCGGTTGCTGATTTGCCGCCAACGAAGATTCAAGAGGAGCTCTTTTCTTTACACTCCGTACTTGACGCCCCCGTAGTGAGTGGCGCCAGTCTCGAATAACTTCTCTCATTGTTGACAGTTGTCTCTGGTTATACCTTGTTCCGCTATCTAAAATATAATCTTGAGTTAAGTGTAAAATTATGTTCGCTTTCGCAACTCCACGTAACCATAGGGAGGCATTCGAATTTACATTTTAGCGTTGAAGCCATAGGTAACAACTAGGTATATAAGAGCATCAAGACACTATCCGCAGACGGAATCTTGATTAGAAAGCTTTAGCGTAAAGAAAAGGAGATGTTTGCGGCGCTCTCTTTGTGCGATTGTAATGCTTACCTTTATTCTACTAAGGATGCGGCCATGTTCGCAGATGTTTTCTGCATTGTTTACATTTCAGCACAAAGGTAATATAGTCAACTAACAGCTCTCTACTATTAGTGGTTTAATCGACTACCTTACCTGACAATTACACCAACATAACCAGAATACGCTAGGTAAATCCAACGGACATTTATAAGATTAGCAAAATAAGAGAAATCACCTAGGTTAGGTATTTAAGTATAATAAATAGCAAGAGGTATGTTTAAATACATCCTACATGCCCGATATTATGATTAATACAATACATGTACCTAGGCAAAATATATTTGCTTACCCTACCTATCGTATATTTGAGCCTACCTTAGAGACGAAGCATACAGCCTGGAAATACAATAATTCCAGGTATTTAATTTGTGATAAGTAAATGCTCGAGGCCTAATACGTCAATTACTATAATTTAGAGTCAGCATTACCCCTTTAGATAACGTTTACATCGATGAACCTATATAACATGAAAGAAATTATTATTTGCACTTCTCTTAGATAAACGCCAAATATACCAGTCTTCTTAACAGGCAAATGAGAGGCATGTAGTCGTAAACTACTCGGCATTGCCAGTTATAATTTGCGTGCTATTATGGGAGGCCCCTTGTTTTTTTGAGTATTGTGCTAGTTAATGATAACAATCTGATACCCTGCTTGGCTCTTGTCGTGTATACTGCATGAATAAAATGTCTTTTCGCTACCCATAGGAATATAAATTAAGATATGGCCCCCTGTTCTCATCATTTAACAATATAGCTGTCACGGGTAGTTGCATGGGTATATCTACTATATAAGGGGCGCGCAGCGCCCTCGTAAGAGGGTAGAAGACGGGCGTCAATAGTTCAATACTATCTATCCTAACATTCACTTTGTGTATGTCATCAATCAAGGGTATAATATTTGACAGTAGCTTATAGATTACCTAGATACCCGTGTTTAACTTAGAGGCATGGGGTTTGTAATTTATAGCATCTTCGAACGTCAATCACATCAGTAATCCTCATGGCGGACAGATATGTTAGCGGATAAACGCCTATAAATTTGGAACTAAGGGGTTTATTACATCCCAGGCCTCCTTGGTGAATTCTCGCCGAGTATTAATAAACCTCCGGCAGCTACCAATAAGAGGAACCTGGATGTGAAGTTATCTACTTCAGGTTAGGAACTGGTGTGCGAAACAAGTGTAACAAAAGCCCAATAATTTGAGTAAGGCAAAATAAGCCGTCGAATTCTGCCCTTCTTTCCCGTTTACCAACTCAAGAAGCAGGGCACTCACAACTACTCCTGGCGCGGAGCCTGTCTACTTCTCATTCTGAACTCCACGACCTTGGCCGACTGCGTTATTGTACCTCCCACCACCAACCGCAACCAACTTGCCTCCCGAACTTCGTTGCGCGGTATCGTATACGGTCTTAATCTCGCCCACCTCCTCCACAACTAGACAGGTACGTTTCTACGCCATATCACCGTAGGCGTATAATTACGATTGACCGTCTTTCGGATAAGGTGTACCATATAGACTTAGGAAGTCTTTTTGGGTACCGCAGATCCGTTCGCATACTTGCCAAGATCCGTAGCATCGTGGAACTGGCGCGCAACGCTCTTGATACCTTCCCAAACAGAGCGCACAGCTGGAGGATTACCCTGGGCGCCAACCAAGGAATCAACTCTCGATTCGAGCCTTCTGAAGGAGTCCTGGACATGTGTACTTTGTGCGAATCTAGTTCGGAGGAATGCAGTGTAGATAGTAATGAGAATCCAAGAACCACGTTGGAAGAATACGGCCGATAGAAACAATCGGAACCAAAGTAGAATCTCCAAGGACGAAACAACAGACATGGACATGTCATAATATTGCTTCACGAAGTTCCCGATGGCCTCGGCAAGGGGGCTAGCGGACTGCGGCTTGGCACCAGGAGATGCACCGGCGGGAAGCTTATTGGGTTGGATAGTGGGAATAAGGTTGCTTCGTGTGTAGGTTGCGACGTGGAATACGGAATAAATGCCGTACGGAAACAGGGCGAAGGTGTACTGAGGGGCTAGGAACCATACAATTGCCATGGCTTTCAAAGCGAGTATTAGCATTCTCGCACACGATACAAGGAAATGAAGCTGGCATACCGAGATATTGAACGTTCTCATCTGAGAGAAGGCCTAGAACTCCTGGACTCTTGGCCCCAACCTTCTGTCGAGCTCGCCATGTCTTGTATACAACGATCCCGTATGTTAGGGCCGCCGAGAGGAAGGCTGTACGATAGGTAAACCGAGCCCAACGTGAGGTATAGTTAAATGCGATAAGGCCGATGGAGTATCGAAAAAGACTTAGGAGAAGTATAAGGTGTCTGTAAAATATATCAGACGTTAGTAATCGAGTTCCTCGTTACATATTACAATGCCAGCCTTGAATCGAGGAAGCAGGCCCCGAAACGAGTCGAGGAATGTAATAGGACTTGACGTACCCGCTAAACCAGGCAACTGTATCGTTGATGAAAATGTTAACGAAAGTTACATAGGAATTAGGGAGCTTGGGGGAAAGGTTCGCAATCACTTACACTGCAAAGTTTTGGCCAGAGCTAGAATCCTCTCGCCGAGAGGTAGACTCGCGGAGGGCGGAGGAGCCATTTTCTCGGAAACGGCAGGAAAAGAAATAAAGGTAGTAGTCTTTATTCACGGTTGGAAAAATAAAGTATTGAAAAAAGTATCAAAAATTGATTCTCAGATGAAGGCGTAGTCGCGTGCTACTATTGTAAGGTAGAGAGGATAGATGTTGGCGGGTATGAGATGTCTTGAAGTTGGATGATGTCGTATTGTGTCGTATTAGCGAAAAAAGAGCTGAAGAAGCTGGTGAGGTGGCTAGATTTGTACTGGAGGTGGGAGAAATGACGACGAGAGCCAATGCTTTGTGCTTGTGCAACCCACTTTACCCACCCAAGGTACAATTTGTACTTATGATGACTTTACATCTGTTGAATGAGTACATACATGTAAGTACTATCCGGTTATGGCCGGTGCGTCATCAAAGTTGGAAAATTGTGGTCCTAGCTTCTGCCTGTAGGTGATACATTACCTAACATAGGTAGGTAGGTACCTACCTGACCTGGGTACGTAGCTTCTATCTTGCACATACCTGGTATGTTACCTTGGCAGCCGCAATCCAGACGGAGCCGGCAACAGAACGACCTACTACATAGAAGCCTTTCGTCATAGCAACATACCGCCGAGTCTAAACCGCCTCCACACATGCAGCAGCACATCTTGCTTGAAACTGTAAAGCTCTTTGCTGTCTCAGACTTCGGTATTCTACCTACGTGGCATAACGACGGCAGCGCGCTACAGAATACCAAGTTTTGAATGATATCTACAATTTGACGCTACTATTGGCCGATTTTTATACCGTGTTTGTCATGCGTGATGGGTTACTATCGCGACTTAGTGCTGTTAAAGCTACGGTAGCTACCTACATAGATACCCAAGGTACCCTAGCGTCATCTCAATACGTGACCGAGAAGCACCAATCACGACGTTGTTGAAGTTAATGCGAGGCGTATCAATACAAGATAGTTTAGGCCACGAGCATAAGAGGCTACAGCGTCTACTAGGTATTGCAAAATTGCATACATTAAGCATGCTTGGCCTAATTAGGTAGCATGATTAGCATGATCAGCATCAACAGCATTAGCTTCTAAACGATGAGTAAAGAGGAAGCACATATAATGGCACACCTAATTGGCTGTTGAACTGAGATAACTTACCCCTACCCCTCTTTTTCATCGACGAGATGGCTCGGCTTGATCTGGCATCAACACGTGGATCCTCAAACCGACACGGCTTATCCATAATCTAGTGGCCAGTGAAGTAAGCCAGTGTATGACCAAAGTACAGAATCTGTTACCCAAACGACACGCGGGATATATACTAGACGACTGTGACAGAAGATAACTGGCCAAGATGGCGACGATCAGTTCAGCAGCCCCGCGCTTCAAACTTGTGTTCCGCGTACCCCCGGCAGCCCTAGCGTCCGTTAAAACCGCAATATTCTCTACGGGTGCGGGCCGCTATCCGGGACCGGGCAATTACACTGAATGCTGTTGGACAACCATGGGCACCGGTCAGTTCCGGCCCGGAGACGCCGCAAATCCCCACATCGGGAAAGTCGGCGAGCTCGAGGAGGTCCCGGAAGCTAGAGTGGAAACACTCTGCGTCGGCGAGGATACCGTTAGAAAAGCCGTCGAGGCGTTGAAGAGGTGAGTAACGCCGATGGATGCGCCTAGCTATTTATCGAACTCTGCTAAATGTCCACTTGGATGCGGATAGAGCACATCCTTATGAGGAACCGGGGTATGAAGTATATAGAGTAGAGGATATTTGACCTCCTTGAAAGCAAGGAGTAACAGTATATCGCAACCCGTCGCAGCGTTATCTATACAAATGGGGTGACTCGTGGAACTGGGTTGATTCTCATGCAGGTAAATTTCCATATTATGGAAGCTAATGAATATATCGGTATTCACGATTTGACATGAGCTAAATCCTCAAGTTGATTGCAGTTGCCCCCCTATCCATATGGCGACTTTGTTTCCTTAGCGAGGAAAAAATTGGGACCTAAAAAATGTGAGATCTGTCACCGGCCTCTTCTAATTGGCCAAAAAGTAACCCTTCAATTCCACCGACGCTGGTTAACCCCCACTAACACAAGCTGCACTACATGAATGCAGTCTTCCACGACTCTTGGAAAGCATATAAGTTTAGGTCTCTGCAGTGACTCTACCTTTCTAAACTATTAAGTCTTGATACTAAATTTAATTTCAAGGCATTAGAAGTGGCAAGTCGTATATAACAACATTGCATGATTAAAATTCCTATCGACGACCATGGAGAGTTGCACAAAGAGCGACGACCCTCACCTCCCTAACACAGAACAAGTACATGTTCATATTCAACCTCCGTCAGACAATGACATAGAAAAAGGCCGCCACATCAAAGATCAACCCGACGATGCAGCAAACTCGCCGAAGCAATCCGTGTTCAAGTCGCTCGGTTGGCTGGACCGCTTCCTCGCTATCTGGATATTCCTCGCGATGGCCATCGGGATCATACTAGGCAACTTTGTGCCGGAGATAGGTGACGCCTTACAGAAAGGTCAATTCGTCGGTGTCTCGGTGCCAATAGGTGCGTTATACCTTGTTATAAAGCGATATATTACTCTAGATGTATTAATTCTCATTAACCCATAACACTCACAGCTGTCGGATTGCTCGTAATGATGTACCCCATACTATGCAAGGTGCGATACGAGACGTTACATGAGATATTCTCGCACCGCGGCGTCTGGAAGCAGATTGGATTTAGCATCTTTATGAATTGGATTGTCGCTCCGTTCCTAATGGTTCGTAACATTCAGTCCGTGACAGCTGCAATGGGTTCAATCTCTATGCTCTTCTATAACATTAGCTAATATAGCCTGATCTATAGCTAGCACTTTCATGGGCATGTTTGCCAGATAAGCCAGAGCTTCGTACAGGTCTAATCCTGGTTGGTCTAGGTAGATGCATCGCAATGGTATGAGTACCTTATAGAATATAGTTTTAATAACAATAGAAGGCTAACTGGCTCTCAAAGGTACTAATATGGACGGGTTTAGCCGGTGGTGATAGCGAGTACTGTGCTATTCTCGTGGCAATTAACTCCATTCTCCAGATGGTATTATTCGCTCCCTTGGCTGTTTTCTTCATTCGTGTGATCAGTCGCGAATCCGGTCCTCTGGACATCTCGTATGAAGTCGTTGCGACAAGCGTGGGAACTTTTCTCGGTATCCCACTAGGTGCGGCAATGCTGTCACGCTTTGGACTGCGCGCCTTGGCTGGTTCGCAGTGGTACGATCGCGTCTTTCTAAAATTCGTCGCGCCATGGTCTCTAGTCGGCTTGCTCTACACGATCTTGGTCCTGTTCGCTTACCAGGGTCAACAAGTCGTCCACCAGATCGTGTCAGTCTTGCGAGTTGCCGTTCCACTCATCGTGTATTTCATCGTCATCTTCTTTCTGACGCTCTGGATCACGTATCGGTGCGGATTTGGGTATTCCCTCGGCGCTACGCAGAGTTTTACTGCTGCCAGCAATAATTTCGAACTTGCTATCGCTGTGGCCGTTGCAACCTATGGTCCTAACAGTGACCAAGCCCTGGCATCTACCGTCGGGCCGCTTATTGAGGTACCGGTACTGCTTGGACTAGTGTACGTCGTCAAGGCAATAGGGAGTAGATGGGCCTGGAAGGACTGATTTGTATGGTACTAAATTCGAATCAAGACATATTGTGTCCGTAACTAAGTAATATCAAACACATTTACCTAAAGCAATATTTGTTAGTACCGGTGACTGCCTTTGTTCAATAGTATGCCACGAAGAATGGAAAATAGGGGCGCAACCTATAACTCAGTCATTAGTGTCCTTCTTGTCGCTTCTCTTACCGAGAAATAATATAACGAAAAGGCAAGAATAACACTAGTATATACTATTTATGGTTTGCTACTAAGGTTAACCGTAACAGCAAGTTAAAGGATAGATCCAGTCGACGTATCATCATTATCTATATCACAAGTCTCGCACGACCAAGTTGCCAAGGAAACCATGCGTAGTCGTAGGTGTAGCAGGGAGCCCTACCTGCTGAATGTACTTAATATTCTTCCTATTCTTCTCTAGGATTTAAGTAATTTGTGGTCCATGTTAGAAGATTTGAGTCTTGTGATGTCCAATAACTCCAATCCAGTGGACACAGACCTAGCTTCCCCAGAACCGCAAAACACATGTTCCACATGACTAGAATCCAAGTCCACCTAGAGAGAGCCGGTAATATATAATATAAGTGTAGACTAAGTAGAAGGGATTTAATTTTGCCGAAGACATTGTATCGTAATGTTATTGTGAGTACTAAATCCATATCGTTTAGCACGCTCTCCTTCTGTAGCGCAAAGTCGACTTGCCGGTCTTGATCAAGTTTGACGGTTCTGGCCGCCGGCATGAATCTGTCACGAGACCAAATACGGTCCTGTAGCTGAGCTGCAAATAGTTGTTCGGCACGCTCGCACGCAAGTATACTCTCTTGGTCGAGAATATCCTCATGAACCTCGAGTAGAGGCATTAACAGAAAATTGCGTGGATTAAAGGCGAACACCGCAACTATCCGTTTACCGCATAGAGCATCGGCTACCGCAATAGCACCGGTGTTCAACCCCTGTCGTGGAATATATTCAAATACTGCTGTTGCTGAGCCTCTGGGTTGCGGTATGCCATTATTATGCCGTTTCCATCGGTCTTCAGGAACGGCATTAGTCTGTCTGAGGCTTTGTGCGTGGACTTTGTTATAATACCGAACCCACAGACGGTTTGACGGTCCGGTTGGACCTTGGAAGTTTGCTGAGGCAAACAGCACCATTATGCTCCGCGTCTGTACACTCAGGACATCCCCTGTGTCTATAAACCGAAGGCGGTAAGGCGGCACTCTCGAGTCCTTGCTTACGTGGAATACATCCTCCCCTATAGAGGACTGCGACGTCGCCGTCAATCTAAGTGCTACCAGAGCACCCTTAGCTTGACAGTGTAACACCCCCAGCGTCCCTTCTCTGTGGGTCTCGATAATAGGTAAGGAGATACGCAACCCTCTATTAGTAAGTTCGTATGCGTCCGGTAGGGTTTCGCCTACGGAGCTAGTGATGTTGCCGCTCTTCGAGAAAGCGGACACGGATGGTGCTAATAGAGAATCCGCCTTTTCAGAATCCCATGCGAATATTGAATGGTCCCAATGGGTCTTGATGATCTCCTCTTGTAAGCGGCGGAATGCACTCCGCCCTTCGCCATACAGCAGTGGCATATTAACCTCAAATATCCCAAGCAGACAGTAAGCCTCGTCTTCGAGCCGGGTGGTTTGACGGTTTGCCGCCCACGACATTCGAGTTGCTACACTGAGAACCGAGGGACTCCGCAACCCCTTTAGTACAGTGGCGTCTATATTTGTGATTTGGCAGATCAATTTAAGTAAGGCGCCTTCTCTTGTCCCCAAGAAGTTCCAGCCCTGGCCAAAGAATCGAAGCTCTCGGGGCGCGATTAGCTCTTGCAGTGTCCACCCCCGTGTAAACCATCTCGCGCTTTTGAAAGCACCGATCCAGGGCTGTAGATCTGGATCGCTCTCCTGGTCACCTTTTCCGGTCAAGAGCGGACATTCCCAGGGTACGTCTTCCATATAAACATAGCAGACTACGCTATCTTTATACCATCTATACATAGAGTTGATAGACTCGGTTAGTTCTGCGCTGCTCGTCTTGTCCATGCATACTGTATCTATCCAGGCATACTGCAACCCGTCTTTCTTTGCCTGGCGACACATAAATTCAATTTTTCGATAACCTTTCCTTGACTCGGCTTCCGGTCCCGAATACATTTGAAATGTAACCTCATCCTCACCCCAGGTATGGGATAGTATAGCAAAAGGTGGCTCATAACCCCCAAAATTTTCGAGTCGCATTGTAGTCGTGTTGATGAGCCACATGGTAGTCTCGACTGAAGTCGTCCAGAGCGCTGATATGCACCTCGGGTAGTCCCAAGTCAAACAAAACTGTATATTAAACGAATGGTAAGATCATATGCCATTTAAAGTATCAGTCGTATAATTTAATCGGAAATAAAGTCAGGCTATGTGCCTACTTTGGTATCTACCTACCTTATATACAGGTATATATATATATTCACCATGATGTACTTCTAGAAAGGCGGTGTTACTATGCATCTCCATTGGCTGTACTGACCGAGTATATGCGAGTCTTACATTAGGTAGTAAGCCTTGCAAAGTGTAGCCTACCTGAAGAATATGCCCTAGCTGAGAGTTGGAGTTCCTCGCGCAACAATGAAGTTGTTTCCATACCTCTAGGCTTGCCTCGTGATCAGGACATCATGCTATTTTAACCCGGGCATCATTTTCAAAAACGTTAGACTTAACTTGAAATAAATCCCAGCTAGAATTCATCAAGTTAATCAAGGCAAATTAAAAGTGAAAAGTCCAGTGCTGATTCCAATTTACCTATTCAACCCTTCTATCTATACCTCCACTAGAAATGTCCTCGCAATATTCGTGCCCAGCAACTTACAATCTTCCGCATAATGCTGTCGTATCAAATCGGCAATGGTCGGAACTCGACACTGTCCATGGATGAAAGCTTTGGGAGTCTTGCATGATGGGCGCATGAGCAAACTAATATACCGATAGCTGATTTCGACCTCGTAGCATGAAGCCTAGACTATAGCTACAGACATAATCGGGTTGGAGACTCAGTACTTAGGTAGATATATGGCATATGGAAATGTACGAGGGTATTTGCTTAAGGGTATCACAGACAGGTACGAATCGTTTTCATGGAAGATATTTTAAAGTTATAGCAGATCGTGTTGATTCTATCAACATTACCTATCTATTAGAGGATTGCCCTCTATCGAACTAGAATTGTAACACGTGACTATTGTCACGTCATCAGTACTTTTTCTGTCTCAGTCCGAGCCAAAGACGCCTAGATCTAATCGTAGCTGGTAGCTAATAGCTAATCATCATCTCATATTGCTTTGGGTTAGCCAAGAGATATGCCGTGTCGTAACCGTGGATCCGAACAAGAAGGTACTCTTGCTATCTCATCAATCATTCATCCTTCGTGATACTCATTAGAAAAGGAAATCAAGAAAATTCTGTCGTGCGAAGGGATCTCCTTCTGCTGGGGTAAGCTCCCGGGCTTCTGATAAATTGGTCTCCAAGCTGTCATTCTCCGAAACATATGAAGTTCATGAAATTGTGAAAATCTGTGGTGTCCTCTCCTCTGGTACATTTGAGGTGGTAAAGGGCTGTAGTCTCGCATAAAAAAAAATTCAATGGCTGGGATATGCCTTAAATACGCATAATCCGGATAGCGTAAATATCATTCATCGTAAGGAAATCGTCAGGTCTGGTATAGTCGTATACAAATAAAAAAGGGCGCGTTAGTGTTGTTGAAGTAGGTTAAGAACTTGATTGTTGAAACTCATGATGGGGGTGATTGAGAACGTCGGCGATCGCTGCCGCGGTTTCGTAATTCTCTCAATCGTTGATCGAGATAAGCCAATCGAGATGCCAACGATGGTCTAGATGGCGATCTTGCTTCTGAACGCTCCCGGATTGGCTGCTGTACAGTCGCAAAAGGTCGGCGTAAAGCTGTTAAATTGAAATTAATTGGTGCTGATAGTCTATTAGGGAAACTGTAGCTAGAACCTGCGCCAGAGAATGGGGATCCTAGGCGACGTGGCTGCACAAATGGGTCCTGAGGCGCTGTAGCTGTGATGGTGTGCAAAACTGATGAAGTAGAAGGCTCTCCGCAATGAGCCTCCTTAGTGAATGCATCGTCCTTTTCCGAAGCTTCGTTCCAGAAAGCGGCTGTTAGGCTCGGTCGCTTTCGCGGTAGGTCCTCAACGTCCTTAACTGACCTCCGCTTTTGTGTTCCCGAGCGCGATCTGGTTAAACGAACAGGCGACTTGAGAATCTTTCGAGAGCCTAGGGAATTTGACTGCCGTGGCGGGGTTATATCGGAAACAAAGGACGAGGATGAGCTGGGGCCATAGCTCTTAGCCATGACCGGAGATGGGAGACGGGGAAGTTCCGGAGATGGGAGTGCTTGTCTAACGATAATCTCAGCGTCCTTGGCGAACTCTGGGAAGGGTTCACTTTCGGAACTTGTGAGTTGAGCGAGAGGGGCATCAAGCTTCATAGTATCCGAAGTGCTGACTGCCAAAGAAAAGGCCATATCGCGAGCTGAAAATGCTGCGGATGACTGAGCTGGGACTGATTTTCGGTTCCAGCGACGATGAGCCGTCTTGTGAAAGGGCGTAGGACTCCGGGACTTGTATCGCCCTGGACTAGCCGCGGCCTTCATCCTACAAAGCTCGCGTAGGTGAGCTCGGGTAGCTGCACACGTATGGGGCCATTCAATATATGGTTTGGCGGACTCTGCGGTAGGGGTGTTGCTTCCACTTTTCATATCCACTGTTAGATGTCCCTTAGAACCTTTCCAACTTCTTTTGGCCTCGCGTGCCACGCGCAAACAGACCCCATTAGGAGGAATACGGCTTCTACCTAAGCGTATCGGTGTTACTCGCGGGTCTTGTAGATATAACATGTAAGTCGACCATAGGTGCGAGTCCATAGCCTTGGTCCATGGGGCTTTTCGCGACCTTTCTTTGTGCGGTACATTTACATTAGTATCATACTCAAGTTTAGGGAATTCTAGAGCCTTAAGCTCTGGACTCATATAATTGCCATCCTCAGAAGCATGCGAGAATTGGCTGAACAGCGAAGAACTAGTCTGAGTGGAAAATGCTGTTGACGGCCTGCTAGACTCGTACTCAGGACTTGACTCGACATCCGAGTAGCTCCACTCGGACCCAACAGACCAGTCGGGGAACTTTGTTTCGGAAGGCGGCGCGAACTCTATTGCAGGCGTCTTCGGAGGCGAAAAGGTTGGCGCATTTAAGTGCTCGTATATTTCCATGCTGTCGGGTTCCTCTACCTCGATACTCGGAACTGGCACATCTGCTGCCGCGACCGACGCCAAAAACTGTTGGGTTGGCGCGTTTAGGTGCTGAGACACATGTCGTCTCTTTAGTTTCAATCGGGGTCGTGGTGGAGATGGTAGTCTTAACTCATCGCCGGGGGCAGAAGGTTCGGGGGTCTTCGGCCCCTGACCTAGACCACAACTACTGGAATTGAATTGTAGCATTGTGGAATGTGAATGGCGCATCGACGGTTCCTATACTATCCGCCGCGGTAATCCAAAATCAATCAGATAGGCACATTCATGACCGTTCAAGAATTCCACCTCATTAATCACACCGGGAATTAAGACGTCGGGGTCTAGGATATCATTGGCGCTAGTCACAGTTTCTCGAAGTACGAAGCCAGAAGAGTTTATGTCTATATCTGTTTTGTCGCACAATTGGGAAGATCGAAGGAGTATCTCGTAGGGTCGCGGTTAAGTTTTCTTGATTGATTGATTGTAATAGCGCATAGTTAAATTCGACGGGAATGAAATGGACGGGCTCGTAGACGGGCGTTCGCAGGATTCACGTTAAGGGAATAGGTGAAGTCGTAGAGTAAGTAGTATGCGATCGCGCGCGTGCTTCGTGCGTAGGTAGAATAGTGGCTACCACGAGGGGGATCGGTAGCCACCCTCCCAACCGAAAGATTAGGGGAGGAAAAGGAACGACAGATTAGGTATTGAAAAGAAAAAGGAGGCAAAATGTAAAGAGGATGCGAAAGAGAGGATAGTTAAGGTATGGGCTTGAGAAGGAATAGATGGATGGGTAGTAGAATCACGTTGCGCTGCAGGTGCGAGTCTACACCTCATCCCAACGTTATCCCAGATAATCAGCCCAAAGTCTAACCCGATTTGGCAAAAGCTAGGACCTTAGATCCAACATCCTGATTGGTTATTTATAATCGAGAGGGTCCCCGTTTAATCGCTATGGTAGTTGAGCTTTGGGTGCGCTAGTACTATTGCGGTGGCAAGAGGTCTATTATATACCTGATTGGGTTAGACTTTGGGCTGATGGTCTGGGATAACGTTGGGATGAGTTGCGGAAGACTTAAACAGAACTAGGAACTTGTATCTCTTGTATCTATCGATCGTACATCGTAACTGCGTACTGATCCTTACACTGGCCCACTAGAATTGTACTTTGCCCAGAATCAGCAGGCGGGAGTGGTACTGGCGCGAACCCTGCGTGCTGATTCTGGCAGTTCTAGCGGCATGAAATACAGCGCTAAGCCATTTATAGACCTAAGGTTTACTAGAGACCCCACTACAAGGAGTGGGAAACTTCAAGCGGTCAGTTGGGGTTCCTTGCTCCAAGCCAATGCACAAACCTCAAAGACTAGGGCTTAATGTGACTTTAGACCTTATTTTCTGAAGTGCTACTACTACATGTATATGTATGTACTAGCCGACTAGGTACATGTAACAAGAAAAAATTGAACAAAGGGGTAGAGAGGAAAAAAGAACGAGAAACCGAGAGACACGGGGGGATACCTACATATCGGTACGATTGTACTGTAAAACAGGTCGCGGATATTTTAACAAGGTTGTAAATCGGTGGAGAGAAAAAAGTTGCTGAACCTTGAGAAGAGTAAAATTGGTACTTGGGATATGTGGCCGAAAACTGTTAACTTCCTACTACGCACTTCTGCTTGCGACTTGCGACGACTGGCGCCGCTGCTCATGCACTCCGGACAGCAGCTTTGGCCAGCGGAGGGACACGACAGGAGTGCATATGCAGTGATCGCCAAGTGGGAGGATAAGAGGATACCGATGATAGGTAGAGGGCACAGACGCTGAGCAAGACCCCCTAGCCGCCAGCCTATATGGGGGGAATTGGATGGAGTGGAATAGAGAGATGGGGTTCCAGTTAGATCCAGAGGAACGTACCCGTGCGAATTGGCTGTATGTTCACTGTACGCGTTTGACCAAAAGCGCGAAATCG